TTGTGATATTTCTCTCATCAGCCCCCATTCAAAGTGCATCATGTTTGGCCCTTTTTAGTGCCAATGGACTGGTTTATGGACAGAGTATCGTGGTTTATGAGGTGATTATAAATCGGTTTGGATGGCTCATTGTCTTTATGAACTGATTTATCACTTAGTTATGGTGTTTGGGTCTTCAGGTTTAATTCAGGCACTGAAATGGGCACAATGACTGTATGGATTGTCACGCCACACACAGTGGCGCTAGAGGAACGAAAACACAACCAAAAACAACAAAAAAAGAACAACAAAAAAAAAACATTTATGTTTTGGTTTCATCATGGAAGATAAATCCAGTCCTGCATCTGAACACTGTACAAATCCATCTCAATATGAATTTGTACAGGAGTTGATGGAGGAAGGGGAATTAGCATTCATTATATGAATGCAGAAGCACAGGGAGGTACAAGCTGCTGATGCACTGAACTGTTACACCACCACACCACTAGGGGACCATCTACTATTTATGCTCATCAAATACAGTCACTTCACTATGAGACAGCGCTGACGGGAGCAGCTACATGGAGTAAGCTTATAGTTTGACACTGCGTGACTGTGACTGCAAATAATTATAGTCTTGAAATAGACTTTTTGTTGTACTTTAGCTGGTAATGCTAAGCTGAGTATAATGTACAATACTTTAAATTGACTGTTGACCCCAACCCCTTCAGTTACTGTTGCTACGCCTGTCAAGCAGATTTAGCATCAGAATTCTTCGTTGTTCAGAGTTTTGCTGTCAGAAATTTCACCTCAGTGGCAGATTTTATCAGCTGTACCTAGCTAGCTAGCTAATCAAGTGCTAACACTGGCTACACACCAACAGTAACGCTAACATTAGACACACCAAACAGCCTTCAAAGGACTAGTGGCTGACAGAGTCTGACTGTCACGTTCCCTGGGTCTCAGCCGAAAAGGTGCACTCAACACACCACAAAAAGACTACAGCCAACAGCTGACGTATGTTCTGCCCCTGTGTGAGAGGAAATAGCTCTTCACAACAGCAGGTGGCAGTAGTCTGTATGTGTCAATCAAAAAGGGAAACCGAAAGAACGACGGACAGATTCAAGACGCTAGTTAGCCAGTTAGCACATTAACAACCCAACCTGATGTTGAAAGAACAAAGCATATTTATTGTGTGCTTGGGAACAATAACACAAACTATTACAAACTGTTTCTGTTAAAGAGCTCAATGGCTTAAAAAAATCGTACTAAATAAAACAAGTCTGATCTCATGCCCTCTCTCCGTTAGCCTTTGTTTACTTTCCTCACTTGTGTTTCGCTTCTGAGTTAAACTGCCAGTCAGGGTGATATCATTTACCGACGGGCTCTGCCTGCTGCTCACCGACACCCTGACATGGAGTCTGCCAGAAATCGGTCCTAAAAGCTGGATATGAGTTAGCATTTTACCACTTCTGGTTCCCTTGTCTCATAATCAATATGTTTTTTGAATGGGTTTTTGGTAAGATGCCTGAAATAAGGTCTGTAGTTAACAAAAGCTTAAGAGACTTTCATGTTTTATTCTCTGATGTAAAATGTCAGTAAATAACCCACCCATGAACTTTGAAGCTTCTGCGTGTCCTAAAAAAGGCAGTTGCTAACAAGTGGCTAAATGAGACTACAGAACGTCATCATGCCAAGCTGTGCCGAACATGGCTTTACAGTCTTGTCATGGTGGTGACCATAGTGTAGTTTGTTGATAGCACAATGTTAGCTTTTTAATTCTGGTGATTGCATTTAAGCTTCAGTAATCATGAAAATGTTGTTAATTTATGAAGATTATCTTGATGAACAAAAAGTGTAAGTGTCATAAATGTTTGTTTGGCACAGAGCTTATTTTCAGCAATAATCTAAAATCCAATGGAAAAATCCCACAGGCTTTTTGACCAGGGAACCAGTGCGATGCTCACTTCCATGTCAGCCTGCAGAAAAATGTCATCCCTGGTGGACTCCACTGACCAAAGGCTGACTGTTGTCTTGGTGTGTCAGGGCCCTTAGCTCTATCTGAGGTAGTCCTGGCCTGGGTCAGTGGCTTGTAAAATATTCCAAATCCAACTGCTAATGTTAGCCTTAACCCTCATACTGCTTCAAGTACTAGCCTCCATACTGTGGCAAAATACTACAAAAAATACTTGGGGGAGAGGTTTAGGGAACAGTCAATTCCATGTGAGATGTACATTTTTACAGCTTGTAAACACAGATACAGCACATACAGTGGCAAACTCTGACACATACAGTGACATGTAGCGCATCAACTCATCGGCCTTAAGAGTGAGTTAGAGGGGCTCTACTGCACGAGGTTTATGTGGTGTTTAGTGTCTTACGTTGACTTTCTTTGTAAACGAGGGACGCTCTGCGCACTAGTGATGGCTCTGTGTTGTGCCTCGGTGGTGGGGGAGGGGGGACCTGTGATGGACGAACACCGGCGACGGTGGTTAGAAGGGATTAAAAGTTGTTTAGGATTCTGGTTAAAATACTGTTTAGGCACTTTAAAGGAGAGAGAGGCCTGTAAAAGTCAGGGGGGTTAATGAGTTTTTGAGGCATCATTGCCTGAGGTAGATGACTCATTATTAAACAGGTAACGGGGAGAGAGGGTTTTCATTCTGCTAGTTTTGCCTGGAACTTGCTTGTCTCCCTCATCATTAAAAGGTGAGATGCTCAATAGTGCAAGTCCTTAAGTGACTAAGTCAATTGGCCATACGAAGTTAGGGGTGAGTATCAGCTTCCACAGTACTTTGGGTGTCCATCCGTGGGAAGATATCCTTGTGAAATGCAATTATGTTTGCTATTAAATCACAGCACTCATGTAGTATATGTGGAAATCACGGTCAGTGTCTGTTATATGGCACAGAAAGGAGGTTATTAAAGTTATTATGAAACAATTAGATCATTACTCATGCAGTAATTGTCTCCTAAACACAGTTTATGTGCTTCAAACATGAGCAGTGCAACACACTGGACTCAAACATAGAACAGATAAACACACAAACAACAAAAATAAAAGGAACAAGAGGACACAGACACACTCATGCATACAACCACGCACAGAGGCATGCAGCCACACAAGTAGGCACTCTGATATGAAAGTGTGCGGACACGCACACCCACACACACACCCTTCTCATCTCCATAATTACTGTATAGTCAGCATGTCTGTGTCTGGGGGTGACTCTCAAAGTGAGATGTTGACAACAGCAGAGCTGAACTCAAGCTGGGTCTTGTCAAAGGCCTGACACTGATAGCATTATCCGTGTAATTATTCATAGTTAAGTGAACTGCCTACTTACTTTTAACATAATGGATTTGGATGAGTAAGCCATATCTATGCTGCCCTTTCATTTCATAACTTATATGACGTCATTAACCCAGAGGAAATATGCGTTCCAATTTGTCTTAATTAGCTTAAATACAGCCTATCTATTATTTGTGGCTGGGCTTTCATTTCTTTTACGTTTGGGCATAATCTCAAAGCACACCTGCGCTCCCTCAGAGGCACATTAGCATTCTGCAGTGCAACTGTTAAGAACCACACACTTCTAATATATGGCTCATGCCTTTCCAAGCAGCCTGCCATTTTTCTTCTCTTCCATAAAATATTTGCTTGGCATTAATGAATGGGGAGTCAGCCAACGCCTCTGAAAATCTTGATCAAGACGTTGAGCAAATGAGGAGTGAAGGAAAAGGCCTCTGGTTTGGCATTGGGAAATGGCAGCGTGTTTGCGTGTGTGTGTGTGTGTGTGTGTGTGTGTGTGTGTGTACAGTATGTGTGTGGCTACATGGCATTGGGAATATGAGAGATGTCAGGCTGGTCTCTGTTCCTCTACTGGCGGTGTAAATTAGATGTGAACCAGCATGGTGCCGATGCCAGGGAAAAGTACACCTATCAAGGTTGGCTAACTCATCACGGCTCTACGCACTCAAGCGCCGCGGATGAGGGGAGTGCAGGGATGTGCACGTGTGTTTAAATCTTAATGAAACTGGCCCTCTGAAGGTCAGTGCAGAGCAAGCAGGGACTCTTTCGTCTGCTGCTAATGGTGTATTAATGATTCAAAAGATGCCTCTGTGTCTCATGCACACAGGTGCCCACCCAAGCACCCCACTGACGCACACACCCACATAACCACCCACACAGACACATGAAAAAACACAGTACATGGACAATGAATCCAATTAAACAAATGCATTAACCAGAGTGACACAGGCATAGACAAAGCACTTGTGTGTACAGGCACAAATGCGTTTTCAGCAATGCATTATGGTGAGGTGATTTGGTAAGAGTGAGAAATAGTTTCACAGGTCTTAAATTGCAGAACTTGGATTTCATTAACCAGCTATGATTGATTATCCCTGGGCTAACAGCTTATTCGAACAACTGTTTTGACAGGTATTTAATAAGGCACCAACCACAAGTGAGAATGAATTAAGTTCAGGCCAATTACAGCAGGTGTAAAAAGATATTCACAGGAAAAAAGCAGGAGTAAAATGTGCCTTTAAACTTATATTGATGGGGTGGTTATTGCTCGATTTTCCACGGATGTGATAATCAGTACAACAGAGAATTAATCAAATGGGACTGAAAATACATTATTCAATTTACATTCAAGTTCCCTTGTTAGAGTAAACACTGTGTTCACATTTCTAAGAGAGCAATTTGGCTGGAAAAAAGGACACTATAATGAACACAGCAGCTTTCAGAGGTACCTCATGTTGTACTGTGAATTTTTATGACTATAATCGTCTGAAAGCTGCTTTTACAAGATAATGTAAAAAACACTATAGTGCTGATAATATGTAGTCAGTGATGACCACTTTCTGTGAAGCATGCTACTGCAATTTGGATCTGCGCACAAGTCAGCATTTCCTATGAATTATTTAGTGTTAAAGGGGTGGGGTTTAAGTGCGGAAGGGCGTGGAGTTGCATGGGTACAGTGGGTTCCCGTCCTGCGTTTGGGCAATGGTCTTACCTTGAATGTGGACATGGCTGGGTCCCTGCTATACCTGTCTATGGTGTGGAACTTGGACGAGTGGTTGAGCTCATGGTACAGCTCAGAATGTCTTTTGCGAGTGTGCATCACTTTCTGGAAGGGAAGAAAGGAAGGGACAGCAAAAATGAACCAAACAGAAACAAAAACAAAAAAGAAGGGAGGGCAATATAGGGGCAGGCAAGGGAATGGGAATGAGTAGAAGGCTGAGGGACTGCAGAGACGCCAGCCATGAAAAAAGGTTAGAAAGGGACGCCGACAGATCGATCGATTGCTGGCTCATGCTCATACATCATCCACTTCCTCAGTCTTTAAGAATTTGGCAACTGGGAGTGCTGCAGAGGAGTCCTTTAAGTGAAAATTTGGTAAAAATGACTGACAGAAATGCCATTGTTCCAGACTGGTGCCTGCTAACTGGCGGTCCCGTTAACTCAGGATTCTGTCGAACTCATTAAACGTCTAACAGAATGGCTGGATTTTGACAAAAAACTGCCTTCCCTGTGTTCTGAATATGTCTGTCTGGAAGGCAGCTAAAATCCAGATCTTTAATTCTCTGACAGCAAACTGCATTTGTCAGTGCCACTGCTGTTGTCTGTCTGTGCTAATGGGCAGTGCTGGAGCTGCTCGGCAGTAGCTAATCGTCAAAGCAGCTTGCGAGGTTGAAAGTGACACAGGGGCAAGATGCCAGCACTCACACCCGCACACTCACCGGCCAGGACTGGCGCTTAGCACTGGCTCCAATTACTTCAGAGTGGGCACTCTCATCTCTGCTCAGCTAAGAAGGTGCTACTTGTTCCTTGCGTTTTTACTGCTATGTCTTAAGTTTTCTTTGTTTGAGTCATATGGTTTTTATTAAGTCCCATGAAACATGTGTAACCTGTGACCTTCTATAGATGATTGCCGTAACCTTCAAAATAAAGCACTAATGTACAGGAGAAGTCCAGTGATTTTACACTTAAAGTTCACTTAACTTATTACAAGGAGTATTACTCAGTTGTATGTCTTCTGTGGCTCTGTAAGAGCTTACAAAGTTTGAAAAAAATAACCCTGATGATGTCATCCGGTTATCTCAGCTTGGGCTTGGGATTCAAAATTCATAACAGGAAGACTGTGTGCATCAGATATGCTGTTTGACAGCAGGTGGCATCTAAGAGGGTTTAATGTTGCGTTCCATTTGCACTGGGAAGTCAGAATTTCTGCGTTTTCAGTTGGAAATTTCAACTGGAATGCCCCTGAAGATGGATTTCAAACTTGGAAAGTCAGACGAACCTCACCAACCTCAACCTCAAAATCCAAGATGGCACCTCAGTGCATCAACAGTAACAGTTGTAGTAAAATACTAGCCCCTTTTACACTGCCAGATTTTCGGCGAATGTTGGGCCATTTTGCCGGCAAGCTGCGAGCGTTTAGACACACATAGCCGGTTTGGCGAGTTGATCCGAGGTGCCCAATTTTCCGCCTCGTAGGGTAGTCATATTGGCGGAACCTTTTTGGTTTAAAAAGAACGAGGCGGCCTTCCGCAATGGGAGGGACTGTTGATGACTTGTGGGAGGAGCTGTTGATGACGCCTCACGTGCGACCCACTGGCGGTGGATAAACAAGAAACAGCTGATAGCAGGAATGAGCAGCTAGTAGCAAGAGGGAAACGCAAACCTGTAAAGATGAGCAACTGGGGAGACAAGGAATTGCTCGCCCTCCTTGCCCTCGCAAACGAAGAGGCCATTAACCGTCAGATGACGGGAACGGTGAAGGACGGGTCAACTTATGATAGAATCGCCTAAGGACTGACCAGCCGCGGCTTCCCTTGTAGTACTTCACTGTTTACGTCACTCGCTAGAGCTACACGTTTTGTTACTTGCTCACGCCCCCCATTGCCCCGAAAAAGGTGCATTCTGTTTGAACAAAGGTAGGTAGGCGGAATTTTGCTGCACTCCCCGATTTTGTTTTTATACTGCCAATTCTGAAAGAAGACTGATTGGGCTTTCCTGCAAATTTGCACAATTCCTATTTAAAAAGGCTACTATTTCTGTCTCTACAAATCAGTCGTACAAGCATTCCTATCCAACTTCCATCTGTGGACGTGTTGCCACAGGCTTTGTATACGCAAAATACGGCATAATGCGTTGTTATCAACTGGTATCTCTTACAATGGTTAACCTAGCTTGAACTGGTATTGTTAACAGCATCTTGGTTGTCCGGCCTGTCGTACTGGAACGCAATCAACTGGGGTGTGACCTTATTTCCAGCTCCAAGCTCCAACTTCCGAGGAAAATGGAACGCATCATAATGAAAGATGCTGCTGAGTTGCATTATGGGAAATTAAGCATTTTTTTTTGTCTTTTGACCCACACTAAAAACTAAAAGTCTGGATATCTCAGCTCCTGCTACACAGGGATTGTGTCTCTTGCAAGTTCCCCAGCTTTAAGTGCAAGACCAAATCAATGGAGTACTCCTTTAAGTTTTTCCCTGCAAGACTATTTTCTAAATTAAGTTTCAAAATGTTTATATTGATACAAGTTATACTACATATNTATATAAAGTAAATGTTTGACAGTCTAAAAGGATGGGCAAACTCAATGAAAAATAAATGGATGAAAATGGGTTTACCTTCCATTAAACCATGGAAGTGTACACTTGGCTATATTAGTGGTTCTTCTATGTCAAGCTTCTCTCTCGAAGGTCAATAGTCAATTGATGAGTTGTGGTAGAGCCAGTCTCCTTGTGTTTAATTCATGCAGCGGCCACAAATGACTCTCCAGTAAATTTGCCAGATAGTCAGCCATAGTCACTGTTAGTAGCTTGTCACCACACATACCCTCTATGTGAAATATATATATCCTCATGGCAGAAGGTGAATGTCCAGTCTTTGCAAACAGTCGAAATGAAACTGAATTCTCGCCAAAAAAAAAGAAAGAAAGAAAGAGAAAGCTGCAATGCAAAGGGAGGTATTTTATAGTCAAGGGATACTCTCTAGAGACTGGAGATTCACAGGACACCCAGGCCACTCTAACACAAACATACTCACACAGTGTCAGACCAGGTCGTTCCAACAGATATAACCAGCCAATTGACTACGGCCACATACGCGTTGACCCATAACTGGATTACTTGAATTCATTCAGACACAAGAAGCACTCTACTTTGCTGTTTCTTCAACCAGGCCCCCACAATGACATGTTTGATTGAATTATATGTCAGTGGGACGTTTTTCTTTGACTTGCCACATAAATTAATTTCTTAAGATTAAGGTTGGGTTTGAGGCCATTGTTGGAGAAACAGCACACTATGTCAGGTAAGTCTGAGACAGTTCATAGTTCTAAATGCAAGGGAGACAGAAGTGCGAAGGGAGGGATTTAGCAATGCTTTTTGCTCCTCTATGCGTTACTCAAGTCTTGGCAGAAGCACAAGAAAGCAGAGACAGGCTGATGACGGGGGGGAGGTCCGAGATCTTACCTCGAAGTCCAGCTCAGAGTACCGTACTCTTTTCCTCTGGAAGAGGAGGGGGGCAGGGGGAGAGAAGAAAGCATCAATGACCAACCCCTCCACCACTAGTGAACTTAAGACCTCTCTATCTCAGTGTATCTGTGGATCTCTCATTGCCATTGTTCAGTTACAAGAGGAAAGCTAATATGCACTGGCTGCCCAACACGATACAGATATTCTTACAAATGTCAAGGCAAAAAGCAAATTATTCAGTCTATTTCAACGTAATGAGATTAGTGAAGTGGAATAACCCAGAATTAGAATGAAACAATAATTTCTCGGCTCACATACTCTCAAATACAATCATTACAACGCCAGCATAAATCATCCCCCTTTGCTATTTTTGGAGATTTTCTTGGAGACTGTCCGATTAAAAGTGCTGTAACAAACATATGAGGAATGGTTCTCCATCCTCTAATCTTGTTTGGGCCCCACCACTCTCCTCTTAAGTGCCTCCGCAGCTACAGCGAGTGGCACACAAGCCGCCAATTTAACAGCTGCAGACATTTCCAACTCATCTGGCCCTGACATTGCATTGCATTACATTCCATCTCTGACTTCCTATTTGGGTCTTGCTGTCTGCCAGATTTGCATTTGGCAGTGAGAGGAGCTGCTCTCTACAGTTAGTTAAAAGCTGTATTCATTCTTTGAAAGGGCAGAGTTGCTGATCTGATGCTGTGGCAGCCAAGGCTTTAAAAGGTAAAGAAATGCAAACAGATAGAGAGGTAAAGTTTCTCTCTGAGATGTCCCGTTCACTTCATGGCTCACAAAACACAATGCAATTACCGCCCTCCTGAGGAGAAATCCTTACCTTAAACACAGATATTCCATGATTGAGTTTGCTTTGAAATATGGTTGACATGCAACATGCATATACATGTACAGTATATCGCATGTTTTGGTGGGGACACACATAGAGCAGTCATTAACTCAAGCATACAAAATTCATGAGGGATCCTCCTGTGATTTGCTGTTATGATGGCATGATGTTCCTGTAGCAACCACAGTCACACAATAGTTTTAAGTCTAAATGTACTCAGTGCAGTGACTCATATGATAACTTGACCTCTACAGCCAACAAGCTGTTGTGAGGAGATACTGATTTATATTCCGATACTTCTTCCACTTATGTCCAGAGTGCGATGATAGAATAATACGCCCTGTGAACCTTTCTGACGTCTTGAGTTTAAATTTACAAGCCGCTAACTAAAAATCAACAGTGAAATGAACACTGTGAGTACATTTGCGTGATCCCTCCATTATGCGTCACCGTGTTTGAATTGGGGGAGTAAAAAACTGCTGTGATTTAATCTTGAGAGGCACGCTCTGATATCCATCTCCAAATCAAGCATATTCAAACAGGGTGAAATTATAGCAGTAAATTACATCCCGCAGGTTTCTCTGCAGATTCTCCTTTTTTTTTGGTATTCATGAGTGCACTCGTAGCTCTTCTGATTTTTTATGAGTTTTAATGACTCGTCCTTAACGTCCTCAGCCCTAAATGAAGCATCTGCACTTTTCGGTGAAAGTGTCGTTTCCATCTCTTTAATCAACCTGAGTAAGTCAGCAAGATGCCATCGGGGGAGGATCCAAAGTGTGTTCTTGCGTGTGTGTGTTTATGTGTCTGCGTTACCGTGTGCTTGTTTTTGTTTGTATGTCAATGCCTGTGTGTGTGTAAAATTAAGGTGGGCTGAAAGACATTCACCAGGGGTATTTCCTCTGATCCTGTCTGTCTCAGTCCATCTGCTGTGCCACCTTGTGCGGTTAGGAGGGGGTATCACACACATTACACACATAATACACATACACACAGTAAACCAAGAAGAAGCTGTCTGTCATTAGGAGAATAACTCATTTCAACGCTCATTGTCTCAGTCAGCAGCAATTAACACTACTCGGCAGAAAATAACAGCAGTTGTCATAGCAGACTTGTTCTGAGGCACACAACTGTGCTATTATCGCAGTGTGTTGGACATTTTGTTACTGTATATCAAAGACAATATGTATTAGACATTGCTTGAATTGTTTGAAGGCCACACTGTGTAATGTATGTAATTATAGAGGCATTAGCTATGCAAGCTGACGTCTCCTCTCACCATATTCTTGTGTAGCTGTAAATATTCATCATAACAAATCATTTAGTGCAGTGTGGAATCTTACATCTTATTTTTCTCAAGGTAAAAATTTAATATCTGTTTAAAATAGTGTCTCCCAATGCAAATACGTTTTTTTCCCCAATAGTTTTTTTTAACTAAGTGATGGTACATTAGATGCAAATGGTGTATTTGCATTTTTCAAATGATTTACACATTATTAGACAGTGTTTAAAATCCTTGCATACACTGAATGTCACATTGAATAAGTGAATGTTTTTCCTCCCCATTGCTGTCTTCCTCTCCTCTTTGTCATTCCACCACTTCACTTATATAACCACACCACCACCACCACCTCCACTACCACATCCACAGCTGTGAACATCAAGTGTGTGCTCAAGTGAAAGAAGAACACAGTGAAAGAGCTGCACCTCCACTTGGCACCCCTCCTTCCCTCATCCTTCAACCTCTTACCCACCTCCAGGGATCCTGCCGAGAGGCTGCTGTTGGCATTGGTGCTTCCCAGGTTGCGTGGCAGGGTCCTGGTTCTCTCCACTGTGGTTCCCCCTGTCAGAATCTGTCTGACCGACGGCCTCTGGCCCGGCTTCAGCTGGAGTGAATGCCCGTGGGATTGCATGTGTCCTCCGTGGGAGTGTACAAGACCACCCTGAGCCATCATGTGGCCGTGCCCGTGGGGCATGGTTTTGATCGTCCCATAGGAGCGGTTGAGGTTCATGGCGATGTTCATGTCGCCCACACTCGACGGCACAAAATCCGCCGGGTACGCCTCACTCTCGGCTGGGTGGAGGGTCAGGGGTGAGGGAGGCGGGGGGAAGGGAGGATCCTCCACTGCGATGTTGAGAGGTTTGTCCTCGCCCCCCAGTCCCAGGCCTCCTCCTTGGGAGGAGGGTGCTGGAGGTTTGAGACTGACCGTCCTACGAGGTAAGACCATGTAGTCCCCCTCCCCGCCTCCTCCGCTTCCGCCTCCTCCTCCACCACTCCCCCCGCTTCCGGCACTTCCATCCTGGGAGGTGTTGGAGGAAGGGGGCGGTCGAGCCCAGCCCAGGCCACTCTCGGTGCACAGGTAGATTGGGGCGCCGCTGCGTTGCTGCCCCTGCTGTCTCTGCTGATCCACGTTCACCTCTTTCTTTAGGGGCGTCTCGCTCAGTTCATTGAGGCCACCAAGCGTTGGAACCTTGTCAAACAAACAAACAAACAAAAGAATGTTTCAGTTTTACAAGTATGCCCTGAAAGCAAAATGATCTTGCTTTAGATAGTCTTAACTTTGATAACTTTCCAATCCCGTACCTGCACGATGAGGTTGGGAGGGGGGATGTTCCCGGGGAGTGAGCTGAAGTTGACCCCCACTCCCCCCTCCTGATGGGCTGCCAGCTTGGGATCGTCCTCATCATCCAGTGAGATGCGGGAAAGGGTCCCAGTGATGGTGGCCGGGTTGCAGGTGTTCACCTCTTTGAATATGACTAGAGGGAGATATGAGGAGACAAGGGAAGACATAGGGACAGACAGAGAGTGGGGGATAGGCATGAGATAGGGGAGATAGGGGGTAGTTGGTGAAAGCAAGAAAAGAGAAAGAGTTGATGGGTGAGGTAAAAGAAGGGGTGAGGATAAGGAACATTTAGGAGAAGAAGGAGGGATGGATATTGAATGGAAAGGAATGATTTGATATAAGTTATGCCAAGCAGGAGACGGTTGACAGAGAGATAGGTGAAACAGAAACATAAATTAGGTTGTGATACTAAAGTTTGTTTAGCTGAGAGACAGATTGCATCTCCAAAGAAAAAGTTTCACTTCTCATTTTGGTCTTATACAGCTCACAGTAACTAAGATGAGTTTTGTCTCTGACACTGTGACCTTAAGTCTTGCTCCATCTCTAGATTTGCCGGTGAGCCAGGATTTTTATTAGCTTGGAGAAAGAGCCTGAGTGCAAAATGCTGTGTGCTTCAAATGAAATGGAGCCAAATTCCCTTGCTACTGAGTCCTGGCCCATATCTTACTCACCAGCTTATTATTCCCTGTGTGAGTCTGTGTGCGTTTATGTGTATCAGTGTGTATTTCTGTATGAGGGCCTGTTTTCATTTCATAGCACCATAAATAAAAACAAAACATAAAACTACTTACAGTGGCTTTGGGTTAGCTTTCATGCAAGTTGTTGGAGAAAAAAACTACAAACAGAATGCTATACATTTCTGGAAAAGCTACTCCAAAATGAACTAAGACATGCTGATGAGAGATTTTTAATCACAAGTGACATCAATCTATCATCATAATCAAACAGAACTCAAACCATTTGGAGGTTCATGCTGGAAATCATGCTCATTCTGTCACCATCAGAGGAAACAATATTTACTCTGTGGCCCCCAAAATCCAATTCTACACCAAAGCATGTAGCGCAGAGCATTTTCATGTTAACAGCATTGATGTGACAACACGTCTAGCGACACGTTTTATCAAAAACTGAGGCTGGATCTTGCTGAGTGTGAGCATACCAGCAAGGACGAAAGCTGAGAACAGACTCCAGCGTTTTCTTTGTTTTACCATCCTGTTGGTGCAAAGTGATGTGAAAGGACTAGACAAGGTTTTTGGAAATCCTTTAACATCCACATCCAACAGTGGAGACCCAGAGAATGACTTATAGACGAAGCTGGCAGGTGTGATATGGGTTGCGCTCTTATGGCTTCCGCCATTACTGCAGTGGCATGGTTCAACTGAACACATTTACACCAACACCAAATTCAGAGATGTTCGAGTTACTCGCCGTTGGCAGTCACCACCTCTGGCAGATGAAAGTAGTCAGTGTGATTGTGAAGGTTATATGTAGGTAATTATTACACAACCTTTGGGGCAAAACTTTAAGGTACTGCTCCTGTCTGTCCTTTATAGTTTGGGTATCAAAGTGCTGTGTTGAATTAAGCCAGCAAACACCTAAAGGCATTACAGCACTTGCTAGCTCACATTTTAAATAATCAAACTTGATGATTTTTTGCTTTGTAATCAGAAAAAATACAGCATTTGATAAAAATCGGAAAAATGTGGTTACTGTACACATGGAATTTTGGCCAGAAAACATAACAAAGTACCAAGTAGCAAGAGACATCCTGGGTGGCTCAGTCTTTCACAGTCGCTTATCAATCCTCTGTGATTGAAACGTAAAGATATGAAGTCAATTATGGGTTTTAATTTCCATCATTGGAGCAGCTGATAACAGTACAGTCGAGAAAAAGACGTCTAACCATTTGCTAAAACTCGACCAAATTTCCACTGAAAAGTTTAAGAGATGGTTCACCCCAAAATCAAAAATAAATCTTTCCCTCTTAGGGCTGTTGCATAGTTGAAGCACGCAACGCAAGCAAGCGACGCAAGCGACATGAGCAACTCACATCCTTTCAATGTCAACACATTGAACGCAAGCAACGAAGGCGACACTTGAAATGCAATACATCGCTCGTGCAATAGGGGGTAGCAGAGTCACCGGTACATTCCAGCTAGCTAGTACTGCTATTTTATTGCAGGGCACTAGAACTAGAAGAGATAAAAATGGGGGTGTGCCTGTACGAGTTCGCAAAGTTTTTCCTCCTCACCTGCCATATTTCATACCTGCTTCTTCTGTGAATAACAAAAAGTGGTTAATTTCAAGTACATCACATGCATTATCACCCCTGCTGGCAACACATGGTGTTACACGCGTCGCTGCGTTGCGTATCAAAAAAATGGACAACACATTTTCAAACGCAAACACGCATCATGGCGGCCAATGCATCTCGATGCGTCCCAATGCCTTTGCGTCGACTACATAACGGCCCTTACTCGTAGTGTTATTTATCAGTCTAGATTGTTTTAGTGTGAGTTGCAGAGTATTGGAGATATCAGTGATAGAGATGTCTGCCTTCTCTTGAATATAATGGAACTAAAACAAAAAAAAAAAACAGGATTTCCTGGACAACTTTCAAGGCAAAAGTGCTTTAGTAGTGGAGTTATGTACATGTGCCACTGCAGTACTGGCGGTTGATTTACTTCCACCTGCAACCCGGATTCGTCTATAGGACTTCTAAGTCTAGGGAATGGACCAGGCAGTGTTTAGAAGGTCAGTTGGGTGCAAAACTTACATGGGTGTCCTCTCTCTGCAAGGGTGGAGGGGGGAAAGTGACTGTGTTAATATTTCAAAGCACAACACATTGTGGCAAATTTGTAACACATCCAAACACACACAAGACCATTGTCAGCAGCGAGTGAAACAGGTCTGAACACACTGAGGAGTGTTATTATCATGCACAATTAAACACAATCTCATCCAAACATATGCTCGCTGAACACATATTGGGCAGAATCAGTGTGATTGATAAGGCATAATAATTTGTGCACGACTGTGTCGAGATGAAGCACATCATCTCCTGTCATTGTATCAACATGCACAGCGGCAGGCTAAGTTACGGCTCTCCATTGCCTCTCTGCAATGTTAATCCTGTGTTGGACAAAGGAGGCGACAAAGGGAGAAAGGGAGAGAGAAATCAGGTGGAAGGGAAAGCTCACCTGTTTGACATGCCAAGTCCACATCCTTCTCAAAATCCGTCTGAGAGAGCGAGGCAGGGTAGAAAGAGAGGAGACACAATGAGAGTCATTACATAAAGCACATTAATAGAAGCACAGGCCTGGTGAGTGATTGGATCTTGAATGGTTATGCTGAATCCAATGACTCCGGTGCTCTAATCTGACATAAAAATAAAAGAGTAGGATCTGTTGCCATGGTGACACGATACAAACCAGTCAATTAGTAATGCCCTCTGTGAACAAGACAAAAAAACGTTGCCCTAAGTCATAGCAGAAATGTTCAATTTCCATTTCTTCATAGTGAATTTGTCCAAAGACAGTTCTGTGTGATGCCACGCACTACTTCCACTCTGCTCATGATGGGTATCAGTTCACAGCAGCAGATCCAAATACAGTGTTTGACAGAGACAAGTAGAACGCTGTGGAGTTTTGCCAGGTATGTAATTCTACTGTATGCCTCATCAGTCACCTTGCTGTCATCTGAATGCAAACAGGGAGCGACATTTACACTGCAGCAAAGCTATTATCTGCTGTGCCAGTTGAAGCAAAACTCTGGCGTCCTCTGGCTGAGCTTTTCTTAGACTGGAAAAAAATCTATGACGCAAGAATCCAAATGCTTTTACAATCACAGCGGCGACCAAATCACCAACACTGAGCGTAAACTGCACTTAATATTCAGATTTTATGTAGATTAGCTTACAAAATATATCTATTTGCTTTGATCTAGAATTTACTCGAGGAAAGCAGGGGTGGCACTCGTCCTTGGGGTAAAGAATCTCCACCAAACCCAGAGAGCGGTCGGCTCAATGAAGAAGTGTTGTTTCCAAAATGGCCACCACTCAAGTTTCCTAAACTTCAGTGAAAGTGAAGCTCATTGCTATGCAGTTGTGGTCCTTCCTTCTCTCACCACAGAGCCTCCTCCTGTCCTCCACGGGATTCACTTACAAAAGCCTTTGTTTGTATAATAAACTACAGATTTTAGACAGTTTGGGCACGCCACACAGGCAAAGAGGAAGGGGGGATGGTGGGGGTGAAAAACTGAAAGAGAGAAGGAGAGAATGTGTAAAGGTCTCAGAGGAGCGGAAAACCTCTTAGTACGCAAATCACCCGCAGCACCATAAATGGGTCTCTGCTAAATGGACGGATGAGGATATGAAAGAAACCTCTCTCTCTTTCTCTCAGTCTCTCTCTGCCATCCGAATTGAGAAAAACAAATTATCTTTATTTTATCTATAACACACTGGCTCTGCAACAGCATCACAGGTTAAGTACAGTGAGTCATCAACGTGAACAGTTCTGTAAAAAGAGCAAATGGGAACATAGTCCTCTTGTTGAGTACTATTGACGAAGCAAACATCCTATAATACACAGCATCCTGGGTGAGGTCATGACTGAAATGACTGCTAAAGAAACCATTATCCTCTTAATTCATTAAAAATTCATAAATGCTTACTATAACTGCATTGCTTATCTTACTATAGTAACAGTTCTAGTTTCTATTTATACATCACAGCTATTTGTAGTTTGGTTTAAAGGTGCAACATGTAATCAAAAGAAAAATAAATTTGGTGCAATAATGACTTTTTTAGGTTGAAGGAATAATTTGACATTTTGAGACAAGTTTATTTACCATCTTGCTCAGAGTTAGATGAGAAGATTGATACCACTCTCATGTTTGTACGTTAAATATGAAGCTACCGCCAGCAACAGGTTAGCTTGGCTTAGCTTAGCTTATTTTAGCTTAGCACAAAGAGTTGAAACAGTGGGAATAAGCTAACCTGGCCTTTTTAAAAACGTGAAAGAATATGCCTACTACAACCACTAAAGTCAGTATTTAACAGGTTATATCTTGTTTGTTTATTCCATGAACAAACCAAAAGTTCAAAATGACAGATTGTGGTTTTACGTGGGTTTATGTGCGGGAATATCTCCTGGCTGGCTGCAGTGGCCTTGTGAAGTCGTGGTAACCCCACATTGAAGACAAGACTACAAAAAGTTACTGCGCCTAGTCAAAACATTTAAACACATTTGTACACATCAAACAAACAAGATACAACATGATAAGTGGTGACTTAAGGAGCTGGTTTCATTATCTGTGCTAAGCTAACCAGCTGTAGTTTCATATTTAGTGTACAAACATGAGGACGTGTCTTTATTTTGTCATTTAATTCTAAGAAAAAAAGCAAATGAGTGTATCTCTCAAAATGTCAAACTATTCCTTTAATATTTGTTTGCATTTGTTGCAGAATATTGTTTTACAGATTCCACCTTTCTTCATCTACGGGCTCTACTTCTCCCAATGACAGGCTCTTTTCTATAGGTGACATACTGATTGGCTGCTGATGTGGTTGTGGGCGTGGTTATGGTTATGAACGTGGTTGTGGGTATTGTTCAGGATGGGGTTATGCTCATGTGCGTGGCTGAGGGCGTGGCTGTGCTCCAGCCCGTGGTCGTGGTTGCTGCGGGGCAGACTGTGGCAACAGGCTTGCTGGCATGCCTGGGGGCCTGTCGGTGGGAACTGCTGTGGGTGGCAACCAGACAGGCACATGGCTGTGCCGTAACGCAGAGAGCCACACTGCTGCCCACAGTAGCTCACATTTGGACACTTCTGATGGTGACACACACACAAAAAAAAAAAATGGAAAACATAAAGTTGAAATGTTACTCTGAGCTTTAATAAGAGATGAACTAAATGATTTCTTCTAAAGACGGCTTTGATTAAACTTTAACAAGACAGCGTAGCTACGCCTTTACATCTTTATGGTGTCTCTAAATGTCAAGGATTCTACATTCTAATGAGATTTCCTTTGAATGCAGCAAGAACACCTGAGAGTAATTATAATGGCGATATTGTCTAACTGGTGCAGCATCACCAAATTATCCATCACAATTAATATTCTCAAGGTTATGGTGTCGTTCACTCAACAGCCCTTCATGCATATGTGCAAGATTTCTTCAAAGTCAGACACATTAGGAGAAAACATAAACGAGACCTCTGATGCTTTCCCTTTATTTCTGTCATATATAGAATGTTAAGACGTTATGAACTCTGTCTCTGTTTTTCTTACTTTCAAAACACTCTGATGTCAGCTCGTGACAGCTTTCTTTATGTGCAAGTGTTTAATAAATATGCTTACATCAGGGAAACATGTAATCATATAATGGTTGCCAGTGATATTAATTTCTCCCTGATTTTGGATCATATTCCTGCTGGAACATGTTGAGCTGTGAAGCTTTAATTGCTGATTTTCCACAGTAGGAAGTGCCCCTATACTCTGTTACAGTCATCCTGTGGCTGCAATGACGATACAGAGACGTCGAGATACATAAGACCCAGAAATACTGACCAATCAGAGCATACTACGCTTTTTGGGAAGGGGTATTTCAAGAGACAGCCAGTATAATGTGGCGTCTTAGATGTGAGGGTGAACACAGCTGTCTCAGCCCAGACAGTAAGATGAAATAATGTCTTTTTAAACATTAAAGCACACAAACATGTTCCAGTAGAAGCGCAAAATACAAATATAAAGCCAAAAATTAGCATTACAGTTCCCCCTTTTGAGGTTTACCAGCTGCCTTTCTTAATAGAGCATTAGTCGGCATAGCAACGAGCTGTGTGTATTATAACAATATGTTTAACCGAAAATTAAATAAGCACAGTTAGACTATAAATGTTCCTCTCGGTTATGAAAACAGAGACAGAGAATGTGTCATAATGGCTTCCCCGAGCAGAATGATGGCTCCAAAGTTTAATCTTGATAACCTCAGAGGGGCGTTCAGAAAGCCATAATCGTTACTGCAAACAGGTCTGAGGGAGAAATAAAGGGAATGGCATTGTGAGACTCGCTCATGCTCTCGTAGTAGCAGTGTGACCGTATTGACATTGGCACGGCAGTTCAAGTCCGTATGATTTATCACACTATTAGCCATTTGGAACACGTACAATAACCTTACGGGAGCTCTGCGCTCTTCAAGTAAAGAGGGAGAAGTTTAGGTTAAAAGTAAATACAAAGTGCTGAGGTGTATGTTTTAGTGAAACATGAAATGCTGTGGGCAGCTTACATTGTGAATGTCAAAAACGCATTGATATTAATTTTTGCAGTGTTGTTACAGAAGTGGTATTCGACAACTTTTCATGTGCACTTATATATGTAGCACTATTTAAAGTTAGTTTCAGGCTGGGAGTGAAATTGCATTTCTATAAGGAGTGAAATCAAACATTTTGGGGAAAATTAAATGTGAAGATGCATAATGCATTTACAATAATGAAGTAAAAAAAATGCTTAAGGAAAAGAAGAAAGCGAGGTATGAGTTTGATTGCTACAGTAATGGCAATCATGCTTCTTGTTATTGGAGCTGAAGCTTGCAGAAAGCTCCAGCCTGGTTAATGTTGGTCCTGCGGCTAATGGACTGCAATGTGGGATGAAATGAAATGCTATTCACCATGATCTGCACCTGTCCATTCTTGCAGGAGTCTGGTGAGTTTTCGCTGTCGTCTTTACATCCCCCCATCCTACAGCGCACCGCGTCCTGCACCTGAAGGGGGGGAATAAGGGACGGGGGGGGGGGAGGAAGGATGAATACAGAGAGGAGAAGTAGGAGCCGGGGAAAGAATGATGAAGGAGAGGAAGGGAGGATGCAAAGGAGAGAAGTTAGTGGAGGAACTTTTACTTAAGTTAGTTTGGCAAATGTTGGAGCATGGGGGAACTCACTCCCTCAGACATTTCATATTCTCCGTCTTTATCGCTGCAATGACAGATGTTCAGTGAATACTAAATTATGTGAAAATGGCAAAGTAAACGGAAAAGCTATGTTCTTCGCAAAGTAGCTCAGCTTGTAGCTTATGTAACAGTCAGAGGATTGGTGCAGAGAGCACACAGCAGCTCTTCAAAGTGGCCTATTTGAGCCTTGTGAGATCAGTGGCTCTCGGCCCAAATTAAAACCAACAGTACGGTATATAGATGTTCCGACCCGTGGGCCTTCCGCGTGTCATATTGTTTTTCTTTATCCTCCCACATACGGCAAACACACACCCAAACCTACTGTCCAAGGAGGAGTTCTCCCAACACAGCTCAAATCAAATGGATCCCTGCATTATGTTTCTCAGCCAACTCTGAGATTCTTTCCCCCCGTCGGGCTCTGTATTATAGATACCCTGGTTACTTGCTGAGGAGCAACATCATTTCTCAATGTTGCCGCTGTCAAATCCCATAAGAATCTCATGGGTGGAAACAAGAGTGCTTGTGTAAGAAGCAGTGGAGGAGTGAACGAGAGCATCTTCACTCTCACTGGGTGGTCTCATCTATGTGTGTGTGCCGCTACAAATGGAGAGGATTGGAGTAGAATCCATGTCTGATTAATACTGCATGGGTATGGGTATTGCCTGCATTGTTTCCCTGCATCCGTCTCTTCTCTTTATGTCCATGCTCATCCTCGGTGGCATTTGTTCTCGTTCCCATTAGTGTGTGTTGGCAGTGCAGCTCATTCTGACTTCAAAGTGAAGAGCCCCCTCTATGTGTCCGTACCTCTCTCCCCACCTACCTCTCTATTTCATCCTCCCCTACCACCAGCCCCTGCTTCGCTCTTGAATCATGTTTTTTCTCCCACAGATCTCTGCACGCAATTTGTCTTCCACCCTCCTTCCTCCCCTTCATCTCTACTCACTTAACAAAGTCCCTCCCTCACCCTTTCTCGCAGTATACCCCTCCTTCACGACTCCTCTCTCCTGCTGCCTCCTAATCACAACACCTCACAATGCACACATGTTCATCTGCTCCCCGACTGATCTCAGCAGGCCGTCTGTGCCGCCAACGCTGCCGTCCTTTCATTCGCTGCCGCGCCCTTACACACAGCTGGTGCTATCGAGGAGCGCTACATGGCGCGACGCTCACCGGCACGTTTTGTGTCTGTACTTTACTTCACATAACATCACACTTTGTGCCGCCTCCTCTCGTGTTTTGCACCGTAATGCTTCCTCACTCTCCCCTTGTTCCTCCCCTCCCTCCCTCTGGTATGGCTCTCCCTTCTGCCTGTTGTTCAGTAGCTACGAAGGATTTACGCAGGGGATTTTCATACATTTACAATAAATAATTCCTGGATTTACTGTACCCTGATCCCTGCCGCTTTTGTGATATTGATTTAATGCAGCTAAGCATTCCAAGCATTTAAGAATTCACTTACACTATGCAGTGCATTCAATATCATAATGATCTCCTGGATATAGGCAGGGCTGTGTGTGGTGTACATGCATCAGCAACACATTTACAGCTATGGAAAAATGATGACATTGTAAATCCATTAATTGTAGTGAGTGCAGTAGGGAGTTAGCTCATGGAAAAATGAGCGTGTGTGCCTGGAAATGTCTGTCTCAAGGGCGCGACTTCATGTATGTGCACAATGAGATTGAAATTCAGCATCCCAGGGGGCCACTGCAAAGCCTGTGGCAAAATGGCACTAGAGGGTATTAGTTAGAGACTTATCGTCTTATTCCATACAGCATCTCAGTAAGCTCCTTAAAGCAGCCTTGGATCAGTCGGACAATACTTCACTATCATACTGCATTATGGAGAAGAAGCGCTGCAACATAGGACATAAATACTGTGCTAATCCCTCCTCATGTCTGATTCGCTTGTGTTCTGCCATGACCTCAGACTGACCCGGAAACTAATGTGACATTTGCGAACACAGATCCCACCTGTCGAAGGGTGTGAGTGTCGCTTAGGTCACTGCGGTGGTGCTGAATTATAAATGCATGAACTCAACATGTCTGGGATGCATACAGCATACAGTACAGCTGCTTAGCAAAAGGAGACCAGACTCACCTCTCGGCGCATTGCACAGTGGACGGTGATGATGACAAAACCTTGGACAGAGTCAAAGACAGCAAACAGGACCTGAAAGAGACCAGCAAGATTTACTTGTGAATTTTTGCACATTTTTATTTTATTGCAGTTGTTCCCAAACAATTTATTAACCTGACACGTAAAAGAGTTTGTTAGACAGGACAATCTTAGAAGCAATCATTGGAAACTGTTTAGAAAATGGCAGGCATTTTCAAAAAATACTTGGTAGTTGATTGGATGAATCATCTGTCTATCACCAACTATCACAGTCAGGAGAAGAGCAAGAACATCTTTTGCATTTAGAAAAGCCTTCGATGCCGTTCTTTGCTCTTCCTCCAGTGAAGAAATTCTATAGCTATACTATAGCAGCGTCTATGTTACCCTCCTGAGGAGCTGCTATTGTTGTTTTTAACCAAAAGCTCCTGCTGTGTGTCATGGCATGTGTCCACAGGATCCATCATTTCCATGCTTCCCATTCACTAAGTAAACAGCTGTGCAATGCATTCAGGAAGCATCCTGTTGCGTTACGAGAGACGAGGCGTCCACTCACCCTTTGCATAAGCTGAGGTCAGGCTACTATAGACAGACTCTCCAGCCTTTTCCCATTCCCAACTCATCAAATACTGCTGCTCTGTCAGTGATCACAGTGTCAGATACTGACACCTTTTGCAGCAGTATGATACACACCGGGCATCAGCAATTGTTAACACAACAGGAAACAACTCAACTCATCAAATACCATCACCTTGTCAATGGACATCCACGTCAGATAGCGACGCACAAAGGCACCTTTTGTGGCATCATGAAACGCCCCAGCCTGCGGCAGTTTTTAATGCTGCCGGCAACTACTGTAGTTTAAAAAGGGACAAAGTCCCTATGGGGGTAGGATTGGTCAAACACACTCGGGACTTTCACCTGGGAGCCTGCTGTTCTATTCCTGTGTGAAACCAAAAGGCGGCTGTGTTATTTTAATAAAAAAAGTAGTGTGCTAAAATGTGTAACACGCTACAGTAGTGATGTATGTCACATAACATATGTCACTTAATGTTACATGACGTTAGTGACAACCGTATTTATTAAGCAAACCCATGATGTTTTTTGTAAACCAAACCACTTGCTTTTGTTACCTGAACTTCAGAAAATAAATGTAGAAATGAGATGTTTTATGTACGTTTTAAGTTTATTTAGAGAAAGACTGTATGCATGTAACAAGCAGAAGCGTATTTTGAAAAGACACAATGGGTCTCATTCATGAAATGTGAGCAGAAGGAATTTGTGTGTAAACTGTTCGCAGACTGAAATTTACGTGCATGTCCGTATTCATCAATATTTCAGTAGCTCCAATCTTTTCGTAGCTACTAACAAAATCTACTCCTGCTCCTGACCACTCGTAGTGCTTGTGTAAATTTAGTAAAGCACATAAATATTGCTTGTCACTATTGGAAATTACAATTTTAACTCGTATTGCGCTCTGTTATGTACACAATACATAGATGCCTTTGAAACACGTAATCTAAACATGACAAAATATTAAAAATATAACACATTTAGTTAAATTAGTTGGCAATTAGCAGGTGTACATGGTCTACATGTTGAATGATGAAAAATATCCATAAGGACAGCCGGATCACAGCCTCTTCGGCCTCGGTGCCTGGGTTCAGCAGGGGCAGCAGGAGCAGCAGGTGGTGGAGCCACGAAGGAGCACGCGCCAGCTTAAAGAATTATTTGAGACAACACGTTTTGTTTTTTTGTTGTTGTTTTTTTGTCTTTTTGATCATTTGAATGAATAAATCTGATTTGAAAAATGTTTAATTTACGTTGTATTAAACAGAGCTTTAGGCTATTAAAATTCAAATAATTTGATGACGATGCATACAAAACTGCTGCAGGCTATATGTTATCTGTACCATTTGTTAAAATAAATGTTAAATAGCTCTACATTCTGACAGCCATCACTGATTTAGAGTTTATCTATTACGCACAAATCATCTCTGGTTTCCTGTTCCCACTTCATTCAAAACCCCACAAATGAATCTTCTGTTTGTTTGGTGACCGCTGTATTTTTTTTATGTGCGCTTATGCTTTTCTTTGCCTCCAGTTTCATATCAAACCATTTACGCTTCACCTCTGACATGGTTCTTTGAACCACGGAGACAACATTAACAGCATCTGTTACCTCCCTCCAGGCCTTTGCTTTGCCTGTCGCTGTCATACCACTACTAACTGAAGAAAATAAAATGTTTTTTCTTAAGTCCACTTCACCCAAAATTATTTCGATCTCCGCTTCGGAAAAATTATTTTTTCTTTCTCTGTCTTTCTTTCTTTGCGCCATGACTGACAAGTTGACTGGATGCACCTACACCGCCTTATATGGTTGTCATTGGATATTCATGGGCGGGGATTTCTGCTAATTGCTGATTACCGGGAGCGCGCTGTCACTTTACGATGGATTGGCATTCATGATCATACACACATCACACATTTCCCGCGGCGTTCCTGAATCCGGAGTAGGTTTTTAGTAGCGTAGGCTTTTATGTGCAAATCTACACACAGATTTACTCACTTTTCATGAATGAGACCCAATGCACGTAACGTGAAGTGCAAACCGACAAACTGTCCTAGAACCATCGAGCGCGTCACATTTTGACGTTTAGATCCACTGACAAAGCGGTGATTTGATGAGTTGGGATGAAAACATCTTGGCACACCTGGAAATCTTTCACACTAACCGTAGATGATCTGATATAAAGACTGATTTAGCAACTGCACGGCTCATTTTTCACCTCAGATGTTTTCATAAGCTCATTCTGATGAACTATTTTTGCAATATAGGAGAAAGTTTCCAAACAAGCTGGCATGTTGGGAGCAGAAAGCCCCTGAGTTAAAGTGGCACACCCTAACCTTGCCTGTAGCTGCCAGTGCCTCCTAACAACACGCTGATTGGTCAGAACCACTGTGGTTAACACACAAATGCATTACTTGAAGTCCGATAAGATGGATTTCCAGATCATCTCGTAATCCCCCAATTCTTGTCTGATCCTGTGATATCATGAGAATCCAGCTGTTGTGCAAAGTAACCCATTCAAAGTGATTTTTGTTTTCCAGGCCCCCCTCACACAGACTCCACGACCATGCCTCTACACACATATCACAAGTCAACTTATGTCAATATTTGGCACCACGGCTGCATTTGACAGTTTTTCCCAACAACAGAAGCATCTACTGTGGGACAGCTAACCTCTCCTCGCCACAGAAAGCTGTAAGCTCGCAGCTGCTTACATGCTACAAACTGATCTTAGTTCTTTTGGCCGGAAGGTTGAGCTGTTTCAAACTGCGTTGAGGGCTGAGATGTAACGGCATTTCTCTTTGAGCAGGCTACAACGACAAATCTTTCCATCACTGCTCTGACAGTCAGCTATTTCTGACTTGTGTGCACCTGGAAAACTCACCGAGCCAGAAAGTGTGTCGCGTTGCCATGACAACCAGCAACCCCGAGGCATCATTACCATTCTCAGCTGTGGTATAATTGCAAAGTTTAGTGTTTAGCATCTTGTTACGGTGACTTTTTCCCCTCTTTTGATACAGTTGAAAATGGAATATAAAAATGTCGCCTTGTTTTGTGATGTGGTGAAAAGTTGAAAGGTAAAAAAGTGCTTGAAAAAAAAAATCTTGTGGCATTCTGCAGCACCTGCTTTGCAAACCATTGTGTTATCATATCCAGCATTGCTGTAATACTGGAGTGAAATGACTCAGTAATCATTAGAGAAACACTGATATGGGAATTAAGTGAGTCAGCCAAGTCATGTTTATTCATAATAAATCACTGTAGCCGTTCATACTTTCATTCATACACTGTGTCTGTGCTCATGATCCTGACACACTGTACGCTTCTTTGTGTCATACTTTTTCAGTGATGATCAGAATTGTACTTTATTGTGTTGTACACCATTTCAAAGCCGCTTTCTATGGTGCATCACAGGAGCTACATGTTTGTGTTACAGGTTACAGCATGTGAGCGTGTGCTAGTGTTGCTGAGAAACATCACCTGGAAGAGTGTGGAGCGCCGGTCGGTTATGGCCAGCACCGCTGACATCCAGGTTAACGCTAACAGGGGAAGAACCACGCAGGAACTCCACAGAGACGCCCTGTCAGAGAAAGAGAAAGGGAGGCAGACGCAGAGAGGGGTAGAGGAGGGGCGCAGAGGGAGAAGGAACAAGGGGTTCAGTCTCAAAGCGGACCAGCCAGCTCTGCTAAGTCCCATAACTCCACTTCTCCCCCCCGACACACAGATCAGTCATAGATTCAATGGTGGGCAATCTGAAACTGACTGGCACACTGAGGTTTGTATCACACTTAATATTCCAACTGAGAAGTGGAAGATGATGTGTAATCATGTAGATAGTTATGAGACTGACAATTGCTCACAATTACATGGTTGATGTGCACAAATTGTCATGCTGGTGGACTGTGAGACGATAGGCAGGGGGGCCAAGAAGGAGGGGGAAGACAGGCCATTGACAAGTACTGACATGGGGGCTTTCTGGAGAAGGAGTGTGTGTGGTGGTGTGTGTGTGTGTGTGTGCATCTGTAACTCTATGGAGTCAGACACCAATTTAAAATGTTCATGCTGTTTGAGCACATATTCCTGGTTTTATAACCGTCAGTCTGACAGACGGACAGCTCTGTCTGGCTACGCTGAGAAATATGCCCGTCCCTTTACAGGTGCATGTCCAAAGGCGATGACGAAAAGAGAAAACAGAGCCATAAAGGCAAAGCTGCGCTGCCCTCTTGTTAATGTGTAAAGTTTCCAGCTGTTGTTGACTGTGATTTTACAGTATGGCTTGGTTATAGCCTGCATGCTATATGAAAAGACACACTCTGATACTGTAAGTGTACCTCATCATATATAATAAGTGTGTTTTAATAAGCTGTTCTGTTTCAAAGTGCTACAAAGTCATTTGGGAGCAAAGTAATGTGGAGAGCTTGCTTTGTCACAATCTTCGAATGCTGGTTATCTCTTTCTGGAAGTAAATTCCCAGGAAATAGTCTTAAAGCTTTATCAGGACGCTTATTTATAAATAGAGAATAGATAGAGAATAAAGGAGTGTTTAATACCAGCAACATTTAAGCTGCATTCTTGTATTCTGTTGTTGCTATTTCAGAGCTTTTTCACAGTATGGGTAAACAGATTATTTGAAGGACCTTCCAGCCAAATAGTACATTGAAAGCTACTGATATGTATTCAGCAAAGATGTAGGTGGATCTGAGATCAGCAAAGCTCTGTGAAATAAAGTCAATAATGGCCTCCGTGTTTTCCCAGTGACAACAAGAAACTGATACAAACTTGTTACTGCAAATAGGCAATCTCATCCCATTAGCGTCCAATCATGCGACAACACAACTAAGACCAGAGTTCCTGCTTTAAACAGAGCTCTCCTCCAAAGTAAACACAAAGCCATAATGAAAGATTTGCACAAGGACGTAGTTAAATATGCACAGGATTGTTTACAAGAGTAAAATGGGAGGAGGGTCTTTCATTAACAGCCTGGCTGCTGCAAATATGAAACCATGACAATGAAGCTCTCGCTGAGAGGACCAAAATAAAGTCTTCAAACAGAAATTGGTCTTTGATCTTTCTCTTGTTAGACTATAGTGTCACCTTCGAGCATATCAACGTCCATTAGATGCTGGTGGGGAGATTGTGTGATACTTTAAGTTCAGAAAGTGCATATAAAAAGAAGGTGCAGCCTGTTTCCACGTTGCATTACCTTACTTTATTTTGAATTCTAAATGATCTCTTACAGCGACACAAAGTATGTCAGAGGATTTTGTCGCTGCAATGTTTGGATATGTGTATTTGAAAGTATGACGGAGAGAAAAACACAAAAATTTGTAATGCACTCCCATAAAGTTGGAAGATTTGTGAAGATTTGTACAGAGCCCCGTAGAAATCACTAATGGCGATCATGACGAGATTTTTCTTTGGTTTTCTCCCACTAAATTTTCCGTTCTCTTGCAATACTTTTGCATTCCTTTGCAATAGTTTCCCTTCAGTGCGCAAGATGAAAACTGCAGCGTTTGATAGTAAACTGTTCAGTTAAGATAGAAAAACTGGAGAAATTAAGGTTACACATAGGTCCACATACAGGTTGCAGGTAACAGGAGGGGTCTGACTCCTTTCGACTCTAATTAGTGAGATAGCATGAAAGATCTCACTTTAACTTTTGGTGTTTTTGCAGCACTGCTACTTAAGATTTTGATTGAATGCTTGTTTCTGTGTTTCACTATCTGCACCTGACTGAGTCTCATTGTTGCTGCATTTGTAACCAACAGTAGCCCACAAGCATGCAGTGTCAATGAATGAGCGTTGGTATTACAGTAGCTACTGTGATCTAAGAATTCGTCTAAGTATATAATCGAAAAATTACATAACAATGCCCAGTGCAAAATAAAATTAACTGAGCTGAGCCACACTAGGCCACTGTGCTAGCAGCAGCTTAGCTGAAATAGACACGGCTCAGAAGGAATGGAAGGAGGAAAGTATTGCGAGAGAATGCAAAATGTATTTTCAGAGAGCACAAACATATTGCGAGTTTAACGCAAAGTGTGAGTGAACACACACACATAATCTTGTTGTGACCCTTTGGGAGCTCTGTAGATTTAAAATTGTGGCAAATATATTCTGATTTTAATCCTTAATATGGGACGAAAAGTTGCAAAAACACTAGATAGTATCATGTTTTGTTGGACCTTTCAAACTCTCTGCCTCATGTTTGTAATACCAATGTGACAAATCTTCCACTAGAGCCACAAAAGACAAACTGTTTCCACAGGCAGTGTGGCACTCTGCACAATTAGACATGCAGTGACAGTTCTAATAAATGCTCTAAACAATAAGATTGAAAAACCTGCAGCTGATTATGTTAGCTATCCTAAATGCTTTGCCAGTTTTCCCTCAGTCCATCCCTTAACTCCATTTGAAATGTGATGCGTTCACTGTAACCACCAGTTAAAGGTGGTGGAACTGAGATGACAGTTCACCACATGAGATGTTATAATGAGAGCCAGAAAGTTTAGCAACACATTTCATAATGCAACACATGCACTGTCCCTGACATTGTAATGGCCTGATGTGTTAAGCCTCTGCAATACTGCACAATAAACAAGTTAAAACAAACTCTAAAAATGAAGCACAAACACTGTCTGACACAGGTCAGGTTTGCTCAGTGTGACCTGAGGAAAATCCACTTTGGATCAAAACATGCTCTCATTAAATAGTGGCGGCTTGCAGTGCAGGTGCTTTGCCTTTCATTAGTTTGGTTTTTCTTCATCCAGACAAGTCTGAATGTCATCCTGCATCATTACTGACAGCCAGAGATTACAAGGATGGAGGAGAGAGAGAGGATGATGGAGAGTAAGAGACACAGAGAGACAGAGAGAGAGAGAGACAGAGAGAGGAATGGGGGGGAAGAGGAAAAAAATAGAAAGATGAAGATGGACTAACATGGCGCTGCTGGCAGTCGCGCTGGACAGAGCGGTGCTCGAGATCACGCCACACTTGGAGCATTTCAGGAGCAGTCGGCTACGCGCCTCCGCTGGGACACTTTAGGACATGTGCACACAGACACACACATACACACACCACCATGTGGGGGGGACAGGAGGGGATGGGGATGTGTGGAAACATAAGTTCCAGAAATGGCAACAGGTGAATGTGCAGGCGGTCACAGTTGCAAAAAAAAGAACCGAAAGAAAAGGAGAAAAAGTGGACACAACAAAGAGAGGGAGGGGGGGGGGGGGAAAGAAAAAAGGGGAAGGGGGAGGGAGAAAAGAAAGAAAGGCAAATTAAAACCAGATCTTAAAAAAGTAGCAGCAATGAATAACAGTCAGAATACAAAGATTGACTCAGAGCAAGTGGAGAGAAAGTGAGAGACGGACATTGCAGTGTTACAACGGAATAATGTGGATTAACAGATTACAGTGACACAGACAGGAAGTACACCAACTATCTTATTCCACTGCCAGTGTGTGTGTGTGTGTGTGTGTGTGTGTGTGTGTGTGCAGGATGGTGCACAGTGGAGCTTTATCAGGGTGCAAAGCAAGAAAAAAGACTTTGGCTGTTTACTTACAGTTGACTACTCAGATGGAGAGAAACAGTGTGTGTGTTGGTATGTGTGTGTGTGTGTGTATATATATTGCGAGTAGAGAATGATGGGGCCATGCTCGGGCTATGCTACATTAGCGTCCCATCACAGCTCATTGCCTTAGTGCCAGCCACATCCCCACGGCTTCATAAGGAAATACATTACGCTAATGACAGCCTGTCCTGTTAGCAACACGATTGTGTGCGGGAGTGCTCAGATATGTGTGCGCTTCTGAACACACACATCTGAGAATCTGCGAGGGAATGTGCTATATACTCAGATAACACAGGGGACTTTGCTCGTAACAAAGACGTGCGCATCTGTTTGTTTGTGTACGTGTGTTTGTACACATCAACTTGTTTAATCTCAGTTGCATCAAAGAGTAACAAAAGCTAATCAACCCCCCAGAGAGCCAATCTGTAGGATTAACTCTTGCAGCTATACACAAATGATCAATTTCAATTTGTGCAGGAGACAGACATTGGAGGAAATGTAACGACATAGAGAAACAATGGAATCAATATGGAAATGAAAACATGGATTTGGCTGCGAGAGCTGAGGAAATCTCCGCTCATAGGATTAGTAAAGATGATAAACGACCCCCCACTGCTTTATTACAGTAATGTTGTAGGCAGGTGCATATGCATGCATATATATTGTATGTGGGCATACATCATGTGTGTGCACGTCTGAGAGAATAACGGATTTCTAAGTGCTCAAGAATTCACCCACATAAAGCTGGTGTTTACAGTATGTAATTAGGCTTCCGTCTGCCATTGATTTTCATATCCACCATATTCATCCGTGTCACACAATACTGAGAATATGAGATGTGAAAGCGATAGTGAAGTGCTGATAGATTTCACCGAGCAACAGAACATAACAGATGTCTTGTCGCTTTGTTGCCAAATTGGACCGCATTTTTGGATTCTTTTTACGGGAGGCACAGGTGCACAAGTAGGTGTGTGTTCAGAGACCCTTGAAAGCAGTTCGAGTTAGTTGCCATGAAAATATTGTCTCCCCGAGTTTGTGTCTAACAGAGAGTGAGTTTTATTTAATGCAGCAAATCTGTAGTCGGTTCCCACCAAGAATTGCGTGGATGGGTGAGTATCCTGTGTGTGTTTTGCAAGTAGAGTGTGTTGATGTCTTTTGTGTGTGTGTGTATGAGGTGCAGAGGGTTTGGGAAGTTATCTTACCCCGCTCGCTGCTTTTTAGACTTGTCTGAGATGCCATCCCGAGACATGAGCTTGTTAAACACCACGATTCCAATGAGCATATTCACCTGAGAAAGAGAGCACAGTTAATAGCTGCGATTCAATTCATGCACTATATCACTGCTCTATACACATACATCTGCTCTTTCTCTTAATATCTCAGTTGATTGAAGACTGAAAGTGACAGTGCCTTTGCTGTCAGGGCTCCCAGGCAGACTACCTCCTATGCAAGAGCAGCTTTAAGCTTATTCTAATGACATTTTTATTTCAAAAGCATACAAAGATTTCCCTGCATGCAGCTATTACTTACAAGTTTGAAAATCCATAATGGCATAAATGTCTAAAGACAATGTATGACATGATTCCTAAACACGTTACACTATAGCCTCCTAACTGTGTACATGTTTGTGATGCAGTGTTCCTTGAACTGGTACTTTTTATAAAGTGAACTCAAATCTAACCAGTATAATTATGCCTCTTCTGTACAACTGATATGCAACCAACAGCAATTTGGCCAATCACTGATAGATTTCATGATCTAGAAGCATGTTTGGCAGATACTATTTACATACAGTGTGTTAATAGCAATATGGCTATGTATATCCGAGTGTATAAAACATGATGGCGGAGGACGTACCCAGGTGTCCATGACCAACAGTTCTATTTACACTACTATATTCCATGGCGCCCTAGCAACGTCAAAACACAAATAGGTCCATTCAGGTATTCTGGTAACATTTGTACACACAGTCTGTGACTATTCTCCTTCAGTGCAAACAGACACATTTTTCCTCCTCACATTCAACATTACAAATGTTAAATCTGAGTATTGATTGCTGCAGTACACATTCCAACCACTAGTGGCAGCGCTGAGTGCAATGTTGCTGCGCAGCACTCATTCAGTATGTGATGAATCAACTGCAACAAATTTAAAAGACACTGTGTGTATTCTTGAGGTCTAGAAACCATGTTAAAAAAAATCCTTTTGAATTGTCTTATAGGCGTTATCTGTTTGCTGTACGCTGTACAATGATTGGCTCTTTCACAGCTGAGAGGCTAGTGAGGACCAATCATCGCCATGCAAGTGTAAATTACGAACACTGTAACCCGACACTACCACTGTTTAGTCTCCTGATTACAGCCATGCCAACGCCGTTTACTGCGGCAGCTCCCTCACTACCCCAACATCCCCCATATGTGGTATTTTGTATTGATTTCAGTTGAAGGATAATGACTGATGAGCCGTCCATTATCAGGAATTAATGGACTACGGGGAGGTCAGAACCTCAGCAGAGTCCTTTAATTCTTTATTACGGACAACTTGAAGAGTGTCATCCTGCTTGTACCATGCTTACTTGCCAAATGAGACCATTCATGAATTTTGCAATCAATACCTTTTTCAAATGTCATAACTTGGTTTACCTGGTAATACTTGAGGGTCTGACTAAGACCTGGAACAATCATAACCATCCTATAGGTTTAATAAGGTCAGGTAAACACTATAAACCATGGATATGTCTGGGCAATGGGAGATATTTGTATTCCGCTCAGTTCATAGAACCCTTTGGCTTAGCAATGAGCCAGAAAGCTAACATTATACGAGCAAGATTCAAAGTAAGTAAATAGAATTAAACGGTATATTTGACAACAAGACTAGCCAGCTATGTTATTGTCCCCAAATCAATGTCAAGACTTTCACAAACAAATGACAGAGATATTATGTAGCCAACACGTCTATTTACAAAGGTGAACAGACAGTTTTACTAGAAACAGCCTAGCAGGCGTCCAGTATCACAAATTAATGGACAACCTACAGCCAATCAAAATCGAGTGTTCACCCAGGCCATGGTTTAAAGAACATCATCGCTGCTCGGATTCTTTAAAAGCTCCCTGTCCGCCATATATAATAGTATAAGCAGTTGCTATAAATGGTGAGCTCCTTGAGGTGAGTGTTTCTGACTGATTTATACAACAAACATCAATTTTTATCACTTCCAGCTGTGATTTTGTTTTCATTTGTAGTGAATACCCTAAAAAAAAACAACAACAAACAAACAAAAAAACAGAGAGAGAGAGAGAGAGAGAGAAAAAAAAAACACTTATTGCCTCTCATCCTGGCTTCTCTTACTAATGAGGAGCTCGTAGCTAAGCCTGCCAAACATCTGGCCATAGTGACCCAGTGACAAAGATTCTATTAGGCACACAGATCTGAGCCAAGGCTTCCTACATGTAGACCTCTTCCACTCTAAAAATCCTGCCCATCTGGGAGATTTTCTATCCCGGCGACACACTAATCCTGATTTCCAACATTTATCTGCACTCTTTCTTCCACCCATTATGGGTTTCCCTGTAGAGTCTCTGTTTGGTTATTCATCTGCTAGTGTTCTTCGGGATGTCAGCGGTGCATTAGCGATGACATTCACGCTCTAGTACATACCTATACTGTGCATGCGATGAATTCCTATTCTTATCAAGGTCCTAAACTGAATGTCTGCTCTGATTCCTTCCTTCATCTGTCACCAAGAGCAGCTTCTGGCTAGGCGGGGAAAATTTTATAGATTCAATACACGGTTGCTGGAAATCCTAAAAAAAGAGCTGAGTAGTTGAGCAGTTAAAGTCAGACTTTCATGTGGTCAGGTGAATTTCCAGTTTTTTTGCAGCTTTTGCAGAAGCCGGATTTTTACTTGAAGCTTTGCTCCATCTACGGTACATCTGGCAGCTTTTGCAATTTGCTAAAAACTTTCTCTCTCTCTCTCTCTGATCTCCTTCCCTCTTACGTGTGTGCTGCTGCTGACAACTACCTACGATGTGCCAGATTGCGCGAGCACAATTGTCATGCCAGTCTTGTCTGGCCCTGGCTCTGTGAGTCAGCATCATCCTGCTCTGCTATTTGCCCAGGGCCAGGTTCATTAATTAGAGAAGAGTCCTGTGGGAAGGTCTGTGTTTCTCTGCCCGACGTCCCTATCTCATTACAGATGTTTGTTAGAGTGGGGCCCCAGCAACAACACCGGGGGGCCGGGGACCATTACATAGCAGCTGGGGTGTGGAGTGTACATCAACAGTGTGGAGGTAGAGATGGCAGAAAGCTGGAAACATTCCAAGGATACCCAAACACTGACACACATGTATGTGGATAACTATGCTTGGATTTAACACAGTGACTGTATCCAATGAGTTTCTATACATACACAACCATTCTGTTGTTGTAATGTATAATTCTACTATTCTAAATGGACGTACAATGGATTTTTTAAGCACCAACACCTTGTGTACCTTCTTACTGTGTGTGTGAATGTGACAGTGGTGATTTGCTGTGTTTCCTGACCGTGAAACCTTTAAATAACAGTAATATTGAAAGCCACCACATTATCATAACCATGAATATTCAGCACCATATAATCCCTAATATTCCCTACAGCTCGAACAAACTGTCAAACTGCCGCTCTCTTGTCAGGAATTCACTTCAAAAACATGCATATCACTCTGCGCACCTGTGACGCTGTCTGATCCACACTTTCCTTTCTGACATACTGTACAGAGAGGTTGCAAGCAACGAGGAAAAGAAAATCCAAATGCATGGGCAGAAACACAACAACAACAACAACAGCAGTAGCAGCAATTACTGAACTAAAGTTCAGTACCCCATCCAGACTTATTGAACTTACTGGTGGAAATATCCGCCCAGGGATTCATTTAGGAGAAATTAGCTAATCCTAAAAACAGCCACATACAGCAGCACACAACAACGGATGATTAAAACACCACTGAGATGCAATCAATGCAGTCAATGTTGCCGCAGAACAATAAAGGGCTATATTTTCTTGTGCATTAAAATGTCTGTTTTATAGCAATTGGCAAAAGCAAACAAAAGACACATTATAATGATTGTGGTATGCACCGTTAGTCACATATTCATGTGAGAATAAGTTTTTAAAATAAGAATTTATCCTTAAATACATTGGGTACAGTGACTCATACTTTAAAAGCACACATAAGAGTGAGAGATTTGGCTGCTGGGCTCAGATTTCAGTCCAGACGTGTTGCATTGCTGGGAAGCTCTTGTCTGCTGGAATATATTTTAGTGTTTCTGGGCAAAGATCAAAGTGCTCATCTCATCATTTTGTCGTGGACACCCGGGGTGCATGTGTTCGCATGTGCATTGGGGGGAGTGATAGGGAGAAGGAAAAATCCTCAAAGGTCAGCTGTAGCTGCTTTAAAGCCCTTCGCTCGGAGGCTAACTTAGAAGAATGTTTGTAGAATTATGCAATGTGACCAGAGAGAGAAGGAATCTCAGCAAGAAAGAGTATTGTTGGAAAGACTCACCAACACAATGACAGCAGCGGGCCCAACGAAGGCATAAAGCAGACCGCCCTCCAAGGACAACCAGCAACTAGAGAGAAAGAATAACAGAGACGTGTTTGAAGCACAAAATGCAGCAAAATCACAGAACTGCTGGCGTATAAACCGTCACTTCACCACACTCAGGTCTCACATTTCACTTTCTGTGAGTGCCAAGCACTTCACCACAACAAGTACTCAACCAATTAAGGATCACATTTACTTGAATTTCCCTAAGTGAGGGATAAAGCAGACATTGCTGGCTGGGTAAGTGCCTCTTTCTGTAAATATTGCCCTCAGTGTCGAGCAAATTTATTATGTACATTACCTAAAACATATCCTCCAACTGTAAATGCTCTTGTGAAATTTCATTTGGCTTGAAAGCTCCTGAGACTTAATGAGTTTAAATGTGTCCTCCAGTGATGTCATCAGAGCACACTGAAACCCCAATGTTGTCTTAATTGCAGCTCAATAAAAAGGAAGATGCAAAACACGCAGCTCAAAAGCTAATATACTGTCCTCGTATTAATGAGATGTTAAGTAGAGTAAGAGGGAACACAGTTGTAAACATCTTTTAAGATGTGTTTTCATTGAATCAATTAGACCATTGACTGGATAACGGAGCTTTTGTGGGTCATTTCTTGTTTAATGGTGAGCCCAACAGTAATTGTAAATAGTGCTTTTTAAATGCTCTCCAATGCCAACAAAACGTAGGTAACAAGCTTTACATATGCCCACTGACTGTCACCTCAGTGAGAGGAGTTTTATTTTAAATTAAAGGTCCAGAAATCTATTTTCTCAATCAGCCTCTTGCTGATACGATGAAGTCCCACATAAACATAACATTTTCTGCCTAGATCAGAGCAGTTATGGTTATTTCACATGACATATTTCTGCATTCATGCTTTTGTCCCTGCTTATCTGCCTGGTTTAAGGCCCAGTAGTGATGAAGGCCGATGCTGTTGCCTGTCACTCTGCCAAAAAGAGGTGCTGAAACACACAACAAAGACTATAGCCAGTGGCCAACTCGCAGGGACCCTCTGTGCCTTCAACAGAGGAAAGAACTCTGTCATAGTAATAATCTGTTTTTGTCAGGACGAATTCAAGATGCTAGTTAGCCATTTTGCACATTGACAATGTTGAAAGACACGTTTGTTTCAATCTCATGCCCTCTTGACTTTGCCATTTGTTTGCTTTCCTCACTTCCATTTCTCCTCTGAACTGAGGTGAACTGCCAATCAAATTGATTTCTCTCTGACAGACAGGCTCCGCCGAGCTCGATGCTTCATCGGCCAAAAAACAGCTGACAAGGGCCGACAAGGGCCGACAAGTGCGTATTGTGTGGGAAACACTGCAAAAACAAGGGCAGCAGACACGCACCGACGGCCAGACATTGACCGACAGCCGATCGTTGGCTTGGTGTGTCAGGTCCTTTAGTGTGTGGCTTTAGGGAGCTGTATGCAACATTCAGAGCATATCTATGATTCCGAGTCTGTGGGAGGAATAGTCTGCTAACTGTTCTCATCATGGAGGTGGCTAGCAGCTAACAATGCTAAATCCATAAACAGCACTAAACAACGGCAACAATGCTAACAGAGCTAACAGTATTAACCGGGTGGGAACAGGAGGATGAGCGCAATGCTTCTGAAGCAATGTGTCAGTGATGAGCTAGCCAGTGGGATATACACAGATCAGCCAAAACATTAAAACCACTGACAGGTGAAGTGAGTAGCATTGATCACCTTGTTACAGTGCAATATTCCAATGGGAAACCCTGGGTCCTGGCATTCTTGTAAATGCTACCTGACACACTCCACCCACCCAAACACTGTTGCAGACCAAGTAAACCCCCTCATGGCAATGGCACCCTGCCACACCACAAAAACTGCTCAGTGGCCCGAGGAACATGACAGAGACCTAAAGGCATTCACCTGGCCTCCAAATTCCCCAAATCCCAGTGTGATGAAACATCTGTGGGACGTGCTGTTACGCTACCTCACAACCCACAGGACCCAAAAGATCTGAAGCCAACGCCCTGGTGCCAGACACCAAGGGACAACCCCAGAGGTCCTGTGTCCATGCCTTGACAGGTCAGAGCCAAGTCCGGTCCAAGGAGCCCCCACCTTGGATCGGGGGTACCTCTGGGGTACCAGCATGTCCCTGAAATGTTCGATCAGATTGGGATCTGGGGTAAGTGCCATTGCCATAAGGGGGTTTACTTAGTCTGCAACGGTGTTCAGGTGGGTGGAGCGCATCAGGCAACATTTAGATGAGTGGTTTGTTGCTTTATTAATGCTCTGAATGTTGCATACGGAACATTTACAGTGGCTGAGTTGGAAAAAGGTGATGTACAAATCACAGCATCATTTGAATCAAAATGTGTTAACAAGTATTGCTGATATTGCCGGTGTTACCCCAAACAGTTCTGAGGAGGTAAATTAGCTGAGTTTATGACCGTTTTAACTCTTAATGATGCTTCTCCCCACTTCAACTCGGACTGTTTAGTCATGAATATTTAAAGTTGCAGAGAAATACTTCAGGATTTAAAGCTACTTTTTAGGGGCTTCAATGTGTTTTTAATAGAATCTTAATAACCCCTCTTAAAACTGGCTTTAACAACATTGTCTTGCACCCATTAAATGAACAACACAGATGAGTTCTGCATTTCACCAAGTGCATGCTGGGAGACGCTTCAGTCCCCCTGTGACACAGGATAGGAATAAGCGGTTATGGAAACTTGGATGAATAGATGGAGGGAGGGAAAAACTGATTTTTTTGTTGATATGAATAATGTGAGAAATACATTCAGAGTTTCAGAGTATGCATTCAGCTGTTTGTGGCAGAGCCTCCTCTGAATCAATAACCACCTCTGGTATGTTATAAAAAAAATGTATAAAAATACAAATTTATGGAATAGACCTCAGCTTGAAACCTTCAGGAATAAAAAGCGAGGATGCAGTATTTCAAGCAGCAAAGGGAAAACTTTGGTATACTTGGAATGGTCACAGAGGGCACTGGATGGAGCGGTGCTGATATTGAGTGGTGATTTTCAAAACTGGTCATGATTGGTGTGAGGCACAGGGCAGGGGGTAGGGAAGCGGTACTCACTAGCTGGCTGTGCCGTAACCTCTCGCTCGGGTGAAACCCACCGACACTGCTACAACTAGGGCTGGAAGACCTGCAGACAGACAGAGAGAGAGAGAGAGAGAGAAAGATCAAAAGGGTGAGACAAAGGATAAAAGGAAGCCTTAATGGGGGCGATGAAGCATGTCGGCCAAATAAGATTCTCAAGTGCGAACGACTCCATATGGCTCTCCCCATTCAAATGCTAAGCAGCCATGCAATAGTGTGTAACCTGTGCATATGTGATTGAAACTGACTTAGTGCTCTGCAGGTAAGCCTGAGTGCGCCGTATGTCCTCTCTGACACACAGGTCTAGCTACAGGCATGAAAACTGGGCTTGGATCCCAGTTTGTTGCAGGGACAGAAGCTCTAATGTAGCGTTTCAACCCATTCTTATGTACATTAAAGTGACAGTTCACCCCCCAAATCAGAAATACATATTTTCCCCTCTCACTTGTAGTGCTATTTATCAATCTAGACTGTTTGGGTTTGAGTTGCCAAGTGTTGGAGATATTGATCATCGAGATGTCTGCCTGCTCTTGAGTATAATGAAACTAGATGGCACTCTTGTGGTGCTTAAAGCGCTGAAAAAATACATTGGAAAAGCTCAACAGCAATGTCTCTCTCCTGAAATTCTGATCTGGTTACTCAAGATGATTCATAGACCTTGTTGTGAGCAGTTTCATAAAGGAACTATATTGCTGCTACTGAACTACACCCACCACTGTGTGGAAGAAAGAGTGCATCCACTGCTAGCACCACTGAGTTAGCTGATGTTACAGCTCAGCTGAGAAGGACACCATTAATGTTTACGTCTTGCACTGTCAAGCGTTCAAGTCTCCTGTCTATATGTAGATTCACGCTTTCTTCTGCACTGTGATGCAGCTGGGAGATAGAGTTCGGTGGAAAGAAAATTGTTCAGCAACTACTTTGAGAAACCAGAGCATGATTTCTCGAAAGAGAAGTTGCTGTTGAGTTTTTAAAATCTATTTTTTGGCGCTTTGAGCACCACATATTGAGTGCAATCTAGTTCCATTATACTCAAGAGAAGGCAGACATCTCTACAGCTGATATCTCCAACACTCTGCAACTCACAACAGAGCAATCTAGACTCAAACAGTACTACAAGTAAGAAAAAATATGACTTGGACGTGAACTGCCCCTTTAAGGCTACCTTAGGTGACCTACACATGCAGCATTCCTGTGAGAGAGTAACACTATGACTGTGAGGATGTGAGACTAAAAGAGAGTTTAAAAATGTGAGGTGCAGCTGAGAGTGGTCAATAAGTCCTGCATTAATTAGCTAAATCAAACACTTTGGGTGTGTCCGCATGTGTGTGTGTGCATGCGTGTGTGCATGTGTGTAAACGAGAGGAAGACAGAGTGAGCGTCACGGAGCGCGTGCCAGAAAAAAGAAGGAAATATGCTGGGTCTCGTAATGAGCTTGGCTCTGAAATATTCATGTAATTAACAAAGCTGTGATTATGGCTGCAAATGAAAAGCAATTAGAAAAAGTCACATTAACATTAACAAATAAGATGGTGGGGAGCCAGTCCGGTCCACTAACCAGCGTGCGCAAAGTTTCAATTAGACAATGACAACATCAATCTGGCGTTTACCAATACATAATACAGTAAACACACACCTATATGTTAAGCATGCATTCTCTGCTGCTAATCTAACACGGATCCAGTCACACCCCAAATCTCCTGTTTCCATGGCAACTGATTTCAATCACATAATTTGGGGAGAAAATTGCAAAAATGGACGTGAGGAGGATAAGCTGTTTGATCCCCTCCACTCTGCTCGACTGTTTCATGCATTTCATTTGCGTTTGTAAGTATAGTGCATAATTATATGGCTGCAACGGAATACTCACACACACACACACACACACACACACACACACAGAGTTAGTATCTCTCTATCTGTGACTGTACAACAATCTATACATTCTCCCTCCTCTGTATCAGGTAAGGGCATCAGTAACTTGGGAGATTAGACTGGTGGGATCAATATCAAGTGAAATGAACAGACGGTGTGCGTGTGTGTGTGTGTGTGTGTGTGTGTGTGTGTGTGTGTGTGCGCGCGCGCTGTGATGGTGTTAGAGGCTATGGTTGTAATTTCTAGGGCTATCTCAAAGCATCTTGCCAGTGTTATGCAGATGTTATCTTTGGTTTTGATTATCCTCGAACATCCCTGGTGCCTATTGTGAGGACAGGACGACAGAGTGACAGGGAAGGTGAATTGCACAGAGGTGATGTGCAGCAGAATGGCACAAAGGAGTGAGATTATCTTTGCTCTGAATGTCTACTGCAAACCTTTGTGAGTGTGTGCGCATCTCAAAATTCATGGGGACCTGTCTTGCTTTTCCTTGTTTTCTGTGATACGTTTAATGTTACAGTGTTGGACGTTCATATCAGATGTGGCCAAAGTTTTAGGTTTCAGATTGTTCGGATGCTGTTTCCGACAGTGTTTTCTACTTTTCAGGCACAATGTCAGCTCATGACAGATTCCTCTATAAGGTCATCTGCTCCAGGCACACTACTGCAAGTGTTTACATTACGTAGCCCACACTGCTACATGTAGCTCCATGCTAACGCCAGGGAAACATGCAATCTTGAATACAGATTTTGTTGATTGCTCTCTGTTTTCGGATCATGTTCTTGCTGGAACATGTCTTGCTGTGTTGAGACGCATTTATTGGTGATTTGTCATGGAAGAAATCGCCACTATATTCCGTCAAAGTCATTCCTTAGCTGCAGTGACGATGCAGGGACGCCAAGATGCAGGAGAAAACTCTTAACAATCACAGCAGACTGGGCATTTTTGTGAAGGGTGCTTAAAGAGACAGGCGCCAAAACAAAGCTTCTCAGACAGACGGTGAATACAGGTGTTCTAACACAGACAGCATGAGGAAAATAAAGTGTTTTTTGACTATTAAATCCTCAAATAAGTGTGAATCTGAAAATAGGCATAATAGGTTCCCTTCAAGATTATATTAGAAACTGTAATGGATGTCTTTCAGGAAATTGAGTCCTTGAAGCAGCAAATAATAGTATACAGCAAAGAAAAATGGGATAGAAATGAGAGCAGAGCCAATGAAGGTTATTAAGCATAATGCAGCCGACACTTTGAACACCACAACATAATAATCTGTTACATTTTCAGGTAAAAAAAAAGAAAAAAAAGGAGCCTGTCTCGCTGCTCTCCATCACAAATTTGAGTCACACAACAGTGGTTCAATCAGCATCCAATTCATGAACAGCGTCTTAATTTTCTCGGCTGAAAATCTTCTGGCACACAGAGACGGTTCATATTCCCAGCAACAGCGACGGCAGAACACATTAGCACCTACGTGTTACAGTGAATGCCACTATGATGCTGAATAGTCTCTTTAAAAATGCAGTAACTAAGGAAATTCAGGCCATTAACACACAATCTGTAATGGCAAAAATGACTAACATCATCTCACATCAGTAGCATACGATACCAAGTACTTAGCTGTGGATGTTGATGGTCGTGGCCAGACAAACTTAATGAAGTAACTGAGTGTGTGTGCTTAAATCAATCTTCTCTCTACCACGCTACACCCGCCAACCAAAGAACAGAACAAAAGCGTCAAAGAAAGTGTGCATCTACCCATGGACAACAGGCTCGTGCTCTTGACTGCATGAGATGTACGCATTTATGGCGCCCTTCTTGGATTGCTGTATTGTAAACTAGCTCAGATTAGCTACCAGTATTGAACAATAAGTTAGACTATTATTGATGCCAAGCTACACCCGCCAACTGGATCACCGCTTAAAATTCAATTTTCAATTTTATTTATAAAGCCCAATATCACAAATCACAATTTGCCTCACAGGGCTTTACAGCATACGACATCCCTCTGTCCTTAAAAACGGTAGAAACCTCAGGAAGAGCAACTGAGGAGGGATCCCTCTTCCAGGACGGACAGACGTGCAATAGATGTCGTACAGAACAGATCAGCATAATAAATTAACAGTAATCCATATGACACAATGAGACAGAGAGAGAGAGAGAGAGAGAGAGAGAGAGAGAGAGAGAGAGAGAGATGCAGGTAATGACAGTAGCTTACAACAACATTATTGAAAGTAATAATATTATAGTTATAGTTCTGGCTACTGTGGTACAATATGTTGAAAGTATGTATTAATATCTGGCAGTATACATGTGTGACAATAGTCATATGTGTATAATAACAGTAGAAGTATGACTAATGACTAATGATGGCAGCAGCAGCAGGAGGCATCTGGCAGGACCACGGCAGCAGCACAACCACACACGTCACGCTGTCCAGGCACCGCTGCGATATGAGTTAATCTGAGAGACAGTGGAGCACAAAGGCTCCGGAGAAGAAGCCGAGTTAGTGACATCCAGAATGGCCGAGTTAGCAAGATGCAGTAATAGGATGAGAGTGAGAGAGAGAGAGAGAGAGAGAGAGAGAGAGAGAGAGAGGGAGAGAGAGGGAGCCCGGTGTATTATAGGGGGTCCTCCGGCAGACTAGGCCTAAGTCAGCCTAACTAGGGGCTGGTACAGGGCAAGCCTGAGCCAGCCCTAACTATAAGCTTTATCAAAGAGGAAAGTCTTAAGTCTAGTCTTAAATGTGGAGACGGTGTCTGCCTCCCGGACCGTAACAGGAAGATGATTCCACAGGAGAGGAGCCTGATAGCTGAAGGCTCTGGCTCCTGATCTACTTTTGGAGACTTTAGGGACCACGAGTAACCCTGCGTTCTCAGAGCGCAGTGTTCTGGTGGGATAATATGGCACTATGAGCTCTCTAAGATATGACGGAGCTTGACCATTTAGAGCTTTATAAGTTAACAGTAGGATTTTAAATTCAATTCTGGATTTTACAGGGAGCCAGTGCAGAGAAGCTAAAACAGGAGAAATATGATCTCGTTTCTTAGTTCCTGTTAGTACACGTGCTGCTGCATTCTGAATTAGCTGGAGAGTTTTTAAGGACTTACTAGAGCTACCTGATAATAGAGAGTTACAGTAATCCAGCCTTGAGGTAACAAAAGCGTGGACCAATTTTTCTGCATCTTTTCGGGTCAGGATAGGCCTAATTTTCGCAATATTACGCAGATGAAAAAATGCAGTCCGTGAGGTTTGCTTTAAATGAGAATTAAAAGACAAATCTTGATCAAATATTACTCCGAGGTTTCTTACGGTAGTGCTAGAGGCCAGAGCAATGCCATCTAGAGAAACTATGTCATCAGATAAAGAGTCTCTGAGTTGTTTGGGGCCAAGAACAATAACTTCAGTTTTGTCTGAATTTAACATCAGGAAATTGGTGCTCATCCAATTTTTTATGTCTTTAAGGCAGTTATGGAGTTTAGTTAATTGATTACTTTCTTCTGGCTTCATCGATAAATACAACTGTGTATCATCCGCATAACAATGGAAATTTATAGAGTGATTTCTAATGATGTTACCTAAAGGAAGCATATATAGAGTAAATAGGATTGGTCCGAGCACAGAACCTTGCGGAACTCCAAAACAAACTTTGGTACGTAAGGATGATTCATTACGAACGTCAACAAATTGAAAACGATCAGATAAATAAGATTTAAACCAGCTTAGTGCTGAACCTTTTAGGCCAATTAAGTGATCCAGTCTCTGCAGTAGAATTTGATGGTCAATTGTGTCAAACGCCGCACTAAGATCTAATAAAACAAGAACAGAGACGAGTCCTTTGTCTGAAGCAATCAGAAGGTCATTTGTAATTTTAACTAGAGCTGTCTCAGTGCTATGATGCACTCTAAATCCTGACTGAAATTCCTCAAATAAATTATTATCCTGGAGAAAATCACACAGCTGGTCTGCGACTACTTTCTCAAGGATCTTTGACATAAAGGGAAGATTAGATATTGGTCTATAGTTGGCTAACACCTCTGGATCCAGGGTGGGCTTTTTTAGGAGAGGTTTAATTACAGCTACCTTAAAAGACTGTGGTACATAGCCTGTTAATAGGGATATATTGATCATATCTAATATATGAGTGTTAACTAAAGGAAAGACCTCCTTAAGTAGCCTAGTTGGGATGGGGTCTAAGAGACACGTTGATGATTTAGATGAAGAAATCACTGCGGTCAATTCTTGAAGAGAAATTGGGGAGAAGCAATCTAAATATATATTAGATTCTACAGCTGTGTTTGAGGTTAGATAGGTAGGCCTACCATCTGAGGGCAGGAGGTCATGAATTTTGCCTCTAATAGTTAGAATTTTGTCATTAAAAAAGCTCATAAAATCATTACTGCTAAGGGCTAAAGGAATACAAGGCTCAATAGAGCTTTGACTCTCAGTCAGCCTGGCTACAGTGCTGAAAAGAAACCTGGGGTTGTTCTTGTTTTCTTCTATTAATGCTGAGTAATAGTTTGCTCTGGCATTGCGGAGGCCCCTCTTATAAGTTTTGAGACTGTCTGTCCAGATTAAACGAGATTCTTCCAGTTTGGTTAATCGCCAATTCCTTTCAAATTTTCGCGATATTTGTTTTAACCTACGGGTTTGAGAGTTATACCAAGGAGCAAACTTTCTTTGCTTTGTTAACTTCTTTTTAAGAGGAGCTACAGAGTCGAGCGTTGTTCGCAGCGAGCCTACGGCGCTATCAACAAAATGATCAATTTGGGAGAGGTTAAAGTCGGCACGGGAAACCTCTGTTACTGAAGGTATTGGTATTGAATTTAACGACGAAGTAATCTTTTCCTTAAATTTTGTGACAGCACTATCTGATAAACATCTAGTATAGTAACTGTTGCTGAGTGGCGTGTAATCGAGTAAAAAGAAATCAAAAGTAATCAGATAATGATCTGATAGCAAGGGATTCTGTGGAAAGACTTTTAGGTTATCAATTTCAATTCCATACGTCAGAACTAGATCGAGGGTATGGTTAAAACAGTGAGTGGGTTCATGTACACCCTGACTGAAGCCAATGGAGTCTATTAATGAGATAAACGCGGTAGCCAGGGAGTCATTATCAACGTCGACATGAATGTTAAAATCGCCTACAATAATAACTTTATCTGATTTAAGAACTAAACTGGATAAAAACTCTGAGAATTCAGATACAAATTCAGAATACGGGCCAGGAGCACGGTACACTATAACAAATAAAAGTGGCTGCGAGGTTTTCCAGGTCGGATGTAAAACACTAAGAACGAGGCTTTCAAATGAATTATAATCTAGTTTAGGTTTAGGGCTGATTAACAGACTAGAGTTAAAAATGGCTGCAACTCCCCCTCCTCGGCCGCTGCCTCGAGGAATGTGGGTATTATTATGACTGGGAGGAGTGGACTCATTTAGACTAACATATTCATCTTGACACAGCCAGGTTTCAGTGAGACTGAGTAAATCAATATGATTATCTGATATTAATTCGTTTACTAACACTGCTTTAGACGATAGAGACCTGATATTTAACAGTCCGCATTTAATTCTCCTGTTTTGTCTTTCTGTCACAGAAGAGGTTTTAATTTTTATGAGGTTGTTATGCACAACTCCTCTTTGTTTAATTTTAGATTTAAATAATTTAGGTGGTCGGGGGACAGACACCGTTTGTATAAAACTATGAAAACTATGGCTGGGTAACTGAACTAGAAGCTCAGAGAGGCGTTTAGGACTGCAACTCTCTGTCCTGGTCTCAACTCTGGGTTGTCGGGGATTTAAATTACTAATAAAATTTGCCAGGTTCCTAGAAATGAGAGCAGCTCCATCCAAAGTGGGGTGAATGCCGTCTCTCCTAATAAGACCAGGTTTTCCCCAGAAAGTTTGCGATAAAAGAAAGTAGGAAGCGTGCATCTACTCATGGACAAGAGGCTCGTGCTCTTGACTGTACGAGATGTACGCATTTATGGCGCCCTTCTTGGATTGCTGTATTGTAAACTAGCTCAGATTAGCTACCAGTATTGAACAATAAGTTAGACTATTATTGATGCCAAGCTACACCCACCAACTGGATCACTGCTTAAAAGAAAGCAGGAAGCGTGCATCTACTCATGGACAAGAGGCTCGTGCTCTTGACAGCACGAGATGTACACATTTATGGTGCCCTTCTTGACTTGCTGTAATGTAAGCTAGCTCAGGTTAGCTACCAGTATTGAACAATAAGTTAGACTATTATTGTTGCCAAGCTACACCTGCCAACTGGATCACTGCTTAAAAGAAAGCAGGAAGCGTGCATCTACTCATGGACAAAAGGCTCATGCTCTTGACTGTACGAGATGTACACATTTATGGCGCCCTTTTTGGCTTGCTGTATTGTAAGCTAGCTCAGATGAGCTACCGGTATTGAACAATTAGTTAGACTATTATTGTTGCTATTTCCTTATGCGCAGTGATACGGTTGGCAGGTGTAGTTTGGTAGAAAGAAAATAGTTCCTATATGAAACTGATCACAACAAGGTCCGAGGATTATCTTGCTTTACTGGGTCATGATTTCTAGAATGAGACATTGCTGTTGAGTTCTTTAAATGCATTTTTGGCACAAATTTAATCTAGTTCCAATATATCGGAGAGAAGGCAGACATCTCCACTGCTGATATCTCCAACACTCCGCAACTCACACCAAAACAATCTAGACTGATAAACAGCACTACAGTAAGAGGAAAAACTTATTTTTGATGTGGGGGTGACCTGTCCCTTTAATTTTGTCAACATAAAAAGTAACCTTTAAAAAATGGTTACGACTGTTTGACTTTATTTATTACAATTCCCATCATGAAATGAGGACTCAAGTGCTCACCCCAGCCGAGGCACAGAAAACGCTTGCGAATGAGTCGTGACCTCATTTTGCCAATGACAGCCAGATAGGACTGCCACGCCTCCGTCAGCACCCAGCAGAAGGACGCCAAGAAGAAGAAGTGCAGGAAGGCGGCCGTCACAGTACAGAGGCCCTGGAGAGAGAGAGAGAGAGAGAGAGAGAGAGAGAGAGTGTCAAGGAGAAAACTGTTGGAGATATTTTACAAAAAGTAAAATAAATAAAAATAATAAAAAAGTTCGTTTTGTGAGAGGTGTCATAATGAATCATCTCCTAGGACTATTCAGCAGAGGAAAATGAAACCTCCGCAAAATAAAGAGGACAAAGGGAAAAAGGGAGTCTGATAAAGCACATATTGTTAAGAAGAATAGGAGTTCAACCTGGCTGTGCTGTGTGCCTCAGTTTGATCGATACTGACCACTACACAGTGCAGTCTTGCTTAGTCAGAGTACCCGGAGTGCTGTGTGCCAAGACAGTCTGCCACTTTGAGAGCTCCATTGTGTGAACACTTTTGTTTTCAGGCATTATAAAAAGCCTGGCCAGGAGCACTATTACTGGAATCATAAACGTGTTGACAGGGTTTACTGTGGAAATCCAGTTGCAGTGTGTGGGAATAGAATTTTCTTTCGCTTTTTATCTGTGCACAGCGCCTTACCTTGCTAAGCGTTTGAGATTGTCCCACCAAAATCAATAAGTTGGAGGCCAAGATGGAGAGGCAGAAATTCACCAAGATGATGGATCTCTCCGATCGTATGTACCTACAGCGCAGAAGGGGCGAGAGAAAGTGACAGAGACTGAGAGAGGAGACGGGCATGTGAGATAAGTATTAATGACAGATTGACGGACTGAACAGCATCTTTTTGGACATTGGACAGAGTCATTAACTTGATTTTACCATCTGTCATGTGTGCTACCAAAAACTAATCACCACCCCCCTGCTGTAGTTGAACCATTTGTTCCTTATTAGGCCTCATTGGAGTTTTGGCACAGCAGAGGATGCACACAAACTAGACTTTTTATGTATTGGTAGGAGCCTGAATAGTGAGAAATATCCACACTGTGTACACAGGGGGCAGGGGACACAGGGGACAAGTGAGCATAAAGACAGGCATGACACCATTAAATACGTATTTGTGTGTACCTCCAGAAGGCAGCATAGATTAGCAGCAGGATGAGCAGAGCAGTGCAGGAGACCCCACAGCCCACCATGAGGGGCACAGAGGGCATGCTGGTAGGACCCATATCCTGAGGAGGGTGAAGAGAAGGGAAGAGAGGGGACAGAGAGGGGAAAGAGGATGTTAATAATCACTGCAAGGCATCAGCCCACACATGTACCTTGCTTAATAAACCTTGATGTTTTCTTTTCTTGACAAAATGACATCTTATTTTATTACACCAAAGAAAAAAAAAATGCACGAGTTATTTTAAGTCACAGTGAAATGGCAGAACATAGGCGTAGATTTTGGAGGGGACACAGGGTACAAATCCCCTTCAGTATTCAGAACACATGCGTTTGTCCCTGCCAATGAGAACATGAAAGAAGCAGAGAACTTTTATTATTTCCACAGACTGCTAGAGGGCGACTTGTAGATGTAACATTGCTTCCCGTAAAATAGGCAGTGGCAACAGTTGCAATCTGCTATGAAACAGAAAGAAGAGGCGACCATGCTTGATTAAAGCAGCAAGTCCCGTGACATTTCCACCATAAACTGATGCAGAAAAAGCACAACTTGGTGCACAGATATTCACCAGAATGCAGGACATGAGTTGTTTGACACTCAAAATTTCTAGGGGGAAGGACCTCCAGACTCCTTGCATAACATGTACCCCTCCAGACATTCAAACAAAACCTACACTCTTGTGGAGTATCTTAAGCTCAGCACACACCTCCAACTATTATATCACTCTGCTACCTACTATGATCCACTGGCTTACTTATGTGCAACTTGGCAACTCATCCAAAATCACATTTGATTGAATCCATTTATGTCCCAATGTTCAAGGTGAGAGGTTTTATATATACTAGAGCATATACCATGAGATAACTGAACAAGTAACACAGGAACACAAGACTAGAAGAGTGTCTAAATACTGGCTTTGTAACCCTGCAACACAGTGCCTTACACGGATGAGATGCCCCTGGGCATTGCTATGAACATGCATGTTTCTATAGAACTATAAGATTGCTATAGGGTTATATAAGACCTCCTAGACCTCTCTAACCCTCCTCCACCTCTCTTACTCTGCTTGGGTGTGAAAATGAATGAACTTGGGGTAAAGGGGACTGCACAATCACACCAAGAAACCTCCAGAGCATCACATCAATAGAATTCAATACCACAATCAGTCCCCATCATATTGTTCTTTAAATGTAATGTTAAAACCAGCCAAATTTGGTGTTTCGTCTCACTTTATTTGCTTTTTTTCAGCACTGTGCTTCTTGTACATCCGCTGGTTATGGTCTGGTCGCTATCTTTTACAAAGCCCTGACCTCACCTGAGCGCTAAGGGGTATACACACCCATAAACTCCTCCAGCACAGAAAATAAGAAGAAAATACATGGAAAGAGGAGAGTCTCTGACAGAAAATACACCACCACACACCTCTGGTGGGTCATAAGTGAGGACTGATAGGGATTACTTGTGTGTTCAGCTATACATTTTTTTTTTTCACTCTAGCAAAAGTTCAGTCAGGAAGACAATACTTTTTATGCTCAGGCCCTAAGTTGTCTTTCTCACCCTGACGTTCACTCCTTGCATGTATGCTCACTTACTGTATCTAGATGTCAATTGAGTCATCAGCTGATTCATAATCAACCAATAGCACAGCGACACACCTTCTCTGTCAGCCTATCATCTTACTGCTCCTCATTTTAAATGTGGTTCTTTCTCTGCCGTAGTTCTTTGTTACTGCCGTCATGTGTGCCATCCACCTCCCCATCACCACCCAGTCTTCACGGATTCATCAGCCTCATACGCCTCACAGTCAGCAGCCTCAGAGTCATCAGCCACCACCACCACCACCACCACCACCACCACCACCGACACACCTTCTTTCAGCCTATCATGTTACTGCTCCTCATTTTAAATATAGTTCTTTCTCTGCCGCAGTTCTTTCTTGCTGCCGTCGTGCGCGTCCTCCACCTCCCCATCACCACCCAGTCTTTCCGGATTCATCAGCCTCATCTTCCTCAGCAGTCAGCAGCCTCAGAGTCATCAGCCAGCATCACCACCACCAGTGTTCGGTCTCCATGGGGGCATTCATTCTGCTGCCACTCAGAAGTCCCTCGATCGCAAGACATCTCCCTCTGGTGTGCAAGCGCCAAAGACTTCTGTTTAGTCTTAATCAGCACAAATTATCTGTTAATCTGTACACTCATATTCTGTATTAAATACTATCCTTACTTCACTCTCCTGTCTCTCCCGATTGAAATGACTATTTGGAGAATAACAATGACAACACTGATGCTACTTATATCCAACTTTAACATGGCAGTACTTATACTGTACCTGTACCAACATCAGGCAAAGGGACTGCTAAATAAAAACTAGCCTTACCGCTAATTCGGGTGAATTTGTTTGAATGCTGATGAATGTATATCGTCCTGTTTCCAAAAAAAAAGAGTGTTGCTAACCTTTTTTATGAGCTGGAAAGAAAGACGAAATTAAATCGTGTAACACTATTGTCCTCAATGACCACCATGTTAAACATTACCTACAGCAGAATGACAGTGTTTGCCAGTAACATGTTTGAATTCTGACTCTAGTGTAATGCAAGCAGCAACAAGCTAAAATATTTACATGACCAACAGCTTGATTGGTCAAATGTTTGGATCCATGTTTACTGTAATATCTAGGGTGATACACAGGATCAGCGTGCTAAAAAGGTATACGAGTCTATAGATAGATAAATAGATTGATGTGTGAGGGAGAGCAATAACTGATTGGAATAAATCCTGTTAGATTCTTTACCTTCATAGATTAAAGTAACTGTTGGCACCCTTCCTGCTTTGCACTTACAGTATCTATTAACTCCTGCACTTCCTTAGTTGTAATCCCTTTGGTAGCCCCTTTTAATTGCTCCTGCTGATTACATGCAATTAAGTCTGTTAGATGGAGCTGGATAATAACACATAATTACACTAATCTGAAAGTTCCTATTTGTTCCAAGTGTCTTGACCAATTTGATGTCACCTATCCAACTTTTCCGAGCGTCACCTACAAACCTTCTAATTATAATTATAATTTCAATTTACTGGTACCCACTCTGAGACATGAGGACGTATTTAGGTAACCAAAACACTGTCGAGGTGGAGAATGCTGACTGGGAGCCTGCTGTGCACCTATTTACACCCATTGTATAATTTGGCATGCACAAGGGTAAAAGCACTAGACCATAGCGCATAATTAAGAGATTTAGGTCATGATGTACAGAGGACCTCGGCTTTGCCTCTCTCCTGAGGTGTGCCTTTGAAAGGATGAGGAACAGACAAATGAAGCTGTGTGGAGAGTGTGCACCCCGCCGTGTCCCAAATGGGCTTAATGTTTGGCCTGCTTTTAAGTTCTCAATCACACAATTTACCTCAATTTACCTCCTGGGGTGGCGAGCCTTCCCTTTCATCCCAAAGATTTATCACTGTACACTCATTCTGCACAAGGTGTCTTTCATAGCAAATAAAGTACATACTTGCACACAGAGGCATGTCCAGGCAGATGTGCCAAGTAATTGAAAGTCTGTGTTTAAGCTGCGTGAATGTTCGTGTGTTTCTATTCACGATGAGCCGAAGGCAGAGGAGGAAGGCAAGAGAGAGGACTTTAAGAGGAATAAAGAACGAAAACTGAAAAGAAGGAGTAGGAGAGAACTTCAGAGAGAGATGGAGTGGGAAGAGTTAAGGACAACTAAGAGAAAGCAAAGAGTAGGAGGCGGATGAAATAGATAGAGAGAAAAGAAAACGAGAGTCAAAGCGCCTCTTTTAGTGGTTTTCCCTGGCCCATCAAAGGAAGCCAATTTCTCCAGAGGAAAGTGGAATAGGCTGGAATACCAATACGGCGTGCACACACAAAGACATTGGGAGGAGAATGGAGGTGAAACATAATCAAAACCGCCTCATAAGAAAGAAGAGACCCACAAGAAAAAGAAAAAAAAGTGAACGAGGGGATATGACAGGCATCTGCTTCTGGAAAAAGGAAAGGCCTACGAGGAGAGTGGGAGACAACAGAGACTCGGTGCGTTTGATATTACGTCGAGAGGAAGGTCAAAGGATATGCAGGCATTTGTGTGGAGGTGGAGGATACATGGGGAATGACAAGAACACGCACTCACGCACCCCGATTGAATTTCCTTTTCTTCCTCTGTCTCTTTTAGTTTGTCTTAAATTAGCCGCCACCAGACAAGTAATAGAACTTACACTCTTACTTGTAATTTACTCAATATACATCCACAAATTGTCCCTCTGCTCTTCATTTTGTCAATTTGTCTAATAGTGTTTTCTTAATTGGTATGGTTGGGTTAAGTGTGCGTGATAAGATTAGGCGTCTAATTTCATAATGTGAAAGGATGCTACAAAGGAGGAAATGAGAAAAAAAAAGAGGAAACACCCACACAAACAGACACACGAATACAACACATCAGGCCCGGGGCTACAGTGTCACACAAATAAATGCCCTGCTCTAAATAGGTATAGTGATATTATGTGGATGGGGTTGTGTTTTGTGTGTGTGCAGTGTGTGTGTGAGATGAGAGAAAAGCACACACTGAGAGGGAGAGAGTACAGATTAGAAAGAGTGTGCTGAGGCTCTGCTGTATATGGCCAGGCTCCCCTGGGCAGCTTGGCTACCATGTGATGGAGAAGATAGCTATTTTCAGCTCAGGAAGTTTAACCTACTTATCTCCTCACACTGACACTCCTCCTCCCTCCACTCCTACCTTTCCTGCTACCAGCCTCCTCCTTCCCTTTCTCTCCTCTCTCTGTGACTCCCACTGTCCCCCCCACAATCCCCCTACCTTTACCACTTACTCACTTCTGAGCGGTGGGTCCCTCCAATTCTCCTCTTTCATTCCATGTCCATGTGTACCTCACTGACTATTTTTCATTAACTCTTCCAATCCCTTCCTAATTGAAAGAAGAATGTCCAGTGCTGAGATTACAGAATACCACACCTGTTTAAGGCAACTTGTATTGAGTGTGTATCTCTGTATTATTATTACGAGTCTATTCATTTGGAAGACAGTCCTCCCCCCAAAAA